CTGCCGTGGGGAGACGTCCGAGGGTGGCGGGGGTTCCCTGGGCACAGCTACAGCCCTGGAGGCAGGGCTCCGCTGGCTGTTTGTGCTCGAGGTAAAGATAAGCTGCTGTAAAAGTTTCTGGTTTAGTAATTCTAATGATAACTTTTTAATCTGGTCATTATTTTCTTTGATTGCTACTACCTTGACCTCTGGTGACAGCTGCTGCTTGTGCCTGCTAAACTTTAATGCAGTCTACAGTAAAGAACATTATGATTATTTGAAAAGGCAGGGTGTAATGCATTTCAGATTAACAGTGGAAGAAAAGCTATTCAAGTTAGAGGTTCACTTTGCCATCTCACTCTCTATGCTGCTTTCCTTATTATCAGTACAAAAAATGAAATGAGAATAGCACATCTTTTAATTTTCTTCCACTATTACCTCTTGATTTGCATTCAGAGCTCCCAGAAGAAATACTGCTGAATTCAGAAGTAGTCTATTTAAGCTGCCTGGTGTTTAAAAATTGCTGGAAGAGGTTAAGGTACTGTATATTATGCAGTTGACCTTACTAAGAAGCTATGTTAACAATTTAGACTTATAATTTTCTGCCATTACATTTTGTTAAAATATTTTTTTTTTTTTTTTTAAGCAAAATTCATTATCTCTTTTGGTACCCCTGCAGGTTAAACCTTTTGATTTCTCTCTAACTTATTTTGTAAGATTTCTAAATTGTATTTAAACTTCTTGTACTTTAAAGGTTGTTTTGCCAGCGTCTCTTTGAAAAGAGGGATTTTTTTTGTCTCTGTCTCTCTCTTTGTACCTGGTCTGCAGAGGCTGTGTGCCTTCACAGCATTTTCCATAGAAGGAAAAAACCCAAACCCTCCGTCTGCAGAGTCCTGCAAATACACGTGAACTCTTTTATCTGGCACTATCATGTCTTTGTGGCTGATCGGGTTTGAACAAGATGTCCAGGGAAAATATTTTGGATCCTGCCTTTACCAAACAGTAGTAGCCTCCTGGTATGTTGGATTCAGGCTCCTCGGACTGAACCTTTGTTCCCTGGCTCTGTCTAGCGATGGCCAGCGCCGGGCCTGGCCATTGAGAAAAACAGCAAATCCTAACAAAGCAACAATAGTGAAATGTGCCAGGGGAGGGGGGAGCTGTACCCTGTGACTCTTTAGGCTCTGTAGCCCTAAACAGAGGCGTTTGTGCTCTGTACTGCTGCTTGAGCAAAAAGCCGTGTCCATAGTGGAACCCTGTAATGCAGAACTTTTTCTAAAATGTCCAAGGTGTCACCATCCCGGCTCCATGGGGTCTGCGGCTTCACAGGTCCCCGGCAGCAGATGTTTGTCGTGGACACTGCCTCCCGGTCATCTCGCATCTAAAAACAATAGCTATGACTCTGCCAGTAAATAAAACAGGGTCAGGGGCTCTGGGGCCTGAGGCCAAGTAGCATGGACTGGCCGTATCGGCATTGTACCACCTGTGACCCACAGACATAACCGTTATTTTGAACAGGTTTATATTTTTTCAGACTGAAATGTTGAAATGAGGAGGGGGTTGTGCTGCAGCCTTTATGCTGTTCGTGCAAGCGAGTGTGGTGGAGGTGTGAAGCCTCCTGGGATGTGCTGGAGGACTGCGGGGCGGGGATGGAGGTGAGCTGGACAGGCTTGTCCATATTTCCCACTGGCAGTGGTCCCTAGTGCATGCTCCCCCCCAGATAACGGCTGGACACTGTCATGCGGTGCTAGTTGGCATGGGCCAAAATCAGGCCAAGCAGTGTGCTACAACTAAAGCAGTACGGACTATCAGCGGTGCAGGTCTGGGGATTGCCCGACCCTCTTTTGCTTGGCTGTGTTGGCACAGCATCTGAGCCGGGGCTTGCAGGCCGGCCCCGAGAGTCAGCAGGTAAAGGGGTGTCTCTCCCTTGAAGCAGGATCAGGTTGTGACTCGCAGCTGCAAGCACAGGGTGAAGACGGTATGGGCATTTTGACATTTCAATGTTTCCTATTCATTCTTCACACTATTGCAACGGTCGCTTAGACTTCATACAGCAAGAGCAGTATGTCAACAGCTGCCTTCCTGTTGTAAAGTCAACACAGGGAGCGAGAGAAGCCCGGTATGGATCCCAGAGCCAGAAGGTGGTTTTATTCGTTTAATCTCTAGGTATGCAGACTGTGATCAGCACCATAGCAACTATCTGAGCCACTTGAATGAGTTAGATAGAGAGATAGCAACACTTGTTATTTACACAGCACCCTTTATTGGAAAATTAAAAAATGCCAGAGACCAGTTTCCGTGAGTAGGTAAACTGTATTCATTTGTTGACACGGAGGTGCCGTAAAACCTCTAGTTGTATCACTGGGATATATCTACACGATAGAGACTGTTTGGCAACAAATAAGTAAAACAGTTAGAGGTTCTAAGGAATAAAAGAATAAACCAAAGGGATAAAAACATACAAAACGCATGAAGAATCATTCTATGTGCAGAGCCAAGCTGAAACTTGGCAGCTTTATAAACCAGTTAACATTGAAATAAATGCAAGTCCAAACAATAGGAACAAATCTGGAACAAATAAAATCATGAACTCACAAATGTTATAAATTGATTGTAAAGATAAAAACATCTTTTGAATTGTGTCCCTATAGTTTATTCTACTGCATATTTCGCTTCTGGGAAGATTCTGTATCTGAAAAAGTCACATGAAGTATCTTCATAGAGCAGTACAAATGGAAATAAATATTTCTCACTTGGAATAATAAGACACACATTTGTCTCTGTGTTATTAGCTGGTTTTCCTCTGAATCATCTTGAACTTCTAGTCAGACAGCAAAGTTAAAATAAATTATTTCATCATGATGCAGAATATTTCTTAACTGTGTAATTCTTTCCTTTGCAGAATGCAGGTACTGAGCAGATAGTCGTTCTATGTGTGAGCATTTCCCTGGTGACTCTCAGCTTTTGCAGAATTACGTTTTGACTAAAAGGATGTAATTATTTTTATAGATTAAAAAAAAAAATCTTTATGTGTATACTGATGCCACACAGTCCTGGTCAACGCCAAGAAAAGTATACGCTGCGTCTGAGACGAAATGTAGACTGTATCAGTGAGGTCATCTCTGAAGCTTAATTATGAGATAATAGTTGCAACTTGTAATTTCAGGCTTAATCAGTGTTATGACACCCAGCTTTGCGGGGCCGGTGTGAATGCAATAGGAAAGCCTTTTGCCATTTGAACATCATCATTCCCTTGGCACACACTCGGCCACCATCAGTGCTTGCCCAGCAGTAGCACAGCCATCCCGTGGAGTATTCTGGCTAGCACAAATGATCTTGGAGGGGACCGGTACGTGCCGGATCACCTCTTCCCTTGTGGCTGCAGGACCTGATAGACCTCCTGGGGTGAGTGAAACCAGAGGCCTCTCGAGTGCCACATTAGCTGGGGTCTCAACTTGAGTTAGCCAACCTGAGGTAAAACCCTGTCCAGGATAAGGTAACTTGTAGTGCTCACATTAGTGACCGAGCAGGACAAATTAGTCAGATAGCTAAAATGAAGAATACATCCCTTCTTCATATAAACCTTTCCAATTTAAATGTTTTCTGTCGTTACACAGGAGGGTAGGGGGGGCCTCCTTAGAAACTCTAAACAAACCAGCTAATAAAACCATAGCGTCACATCACCGCAAGACTGTCATCCCCTGTGGCAGGGATGGATCTGACTGGCTTTACATTGGTCATCCGTATCACAATGGATGTAGGCTAACTGCGGTTTCGAGGCCCAGCAGAAGACAAGCGAAGTTTGCTATATCAGCCAATTAATAGCATCAGTATTTATGCAGGAATGAAGCTGAAAGTGCAAATAAGGCCAGCGACTAAACCTTTCCGGCAGTTACATTTAATAAGGTACTGCGTGTTATTTACAGAAAACATACATCACACAATTGCCGCACATAAATTGCACACGAAGTATAAAGACAGAAGCTGCACTCCCGTAACATGCTAAACAAAATAAATAAAACTGAATTATTTTGGCACAATAGCTATTACATAAATAAATATTCTAGAACATAATTAATTAACATTTATTTACAGTCTATTGAAAGTGCAAAACAATTGGCTGAAAATTAAGATATTTGTAAATGCTTAAGACCAGAAAACATGTGTTAACCAGCCACAATTAATTATAGCTGCAGTTTAAGGTTTTAATGTCCAGGAAATTATTCTCTTGAAATCCATTTGTGCATATTGTGCTCTTTTTGAACCAGTCCTTTGCTACCTTTATGCTATTGATTTCGACAACCTTACTATCGTAATGGAATTCTGTAAAAACCTGATTGGTAGTTTAAAAAAAGGAGTAAAATGTAAACACAGATTAATCTATTTATCATTCAAAATATTTTCAGTCCTGTCAGTTTTCTGAAATGGCCATACTGCTTGCAGTAGTAGGCAGTACGATTAAGATTAGAAATTTTTCTTAGTATCTGTTGTATTTCAAATGGAAATATTTGTAAGTCTTCTCTGAATGGAACTATACCTTGGACCTCTCTTGAACCTACATTCTTTCATCAGATGCTTACGTACATCTTCTACTGAGGTCAACTGTAGCTGGGCAAGCTAAACTGATGATCAGTTTTGGTCCTGACCTGGAGAATAACTCATAAAATACAGATTTTTAATTAGGGAGAAAAACACTACCTCCCTTAGAATTGTTAGAAGCTTTTTGTGCATTTTTCACGAACTCTTCTGTTTTACCTTTTGCCTTTTTTTATCCATATGAGAAATCATTTACTACGCTTTAAGATGAATTAACAGTTCACAACATGGCCAGCCGTACAGCTACAGTGCACAAATTCTTCCTCAGCCAAAGTTCTCTGACAGGCTGGTACATTGTGCGTTGCCTAAGACCTTAGAATATGTTTTTGCTTATTTTTGTAGTGGCAGTGCGGTAGCAGAGAAAGTGAAGTTCTTTACAAGTGACCTTGACAGGATAAAAGATCATCTCTCATCATTGCTTCAAATGTTTATGCTCGACGCAGTTCTAGTCGGTGAGACATGTGTGATAAAGTTCTCTGGTTGTCAATCACATTTAATTGCCGCACATAGCTCCGAACATCCTGATGGTTCTTATTAGTTAGGGCTGCGTCGGGATCTGGTGAAAGAGAAATGATGTAGGATTGATACAGTTAAACGAACAAATGCCTGAACAGAATGCATAACTCTTTACGAGCTGTCACAGGAAATGCCAGATCCTGGTGAGTTAAAAAAAAAATTTAGAAATTGCTGTCTTTGAAACCTTTCCTCCATATCTGATAGTCTTTCTGGTTACGACCCCCACAAATCAACTTTTTCTCTCGGATATCCTTGGCTACATTTACTCAAATTGATGGCCCTTGGTTACAGTTTTACACATCACCTTACCGGTCAATAGCTATAAATTATACAGCTAACTAGTATGATTTAAAGCTGCCCATCTGCTTTTGAACCAGCAGCTTTCACACAGATTCAAAACTATAGAATTGATTTAAGCCTCCTTTCATGAAATATTCCCATTTCTAGCTCAGTATTAAATATTTCTAACGCTGTAGTGCTTAGTGGCTGCCCCATTCAAGCCTCAAAATTTACTACCTGTTTGCGTTACTTAACATAACCGCGTTATACCTACTCCAACAATTATGAAAAACCACCGAGTTAAAATCTGAGTGTCTTCAGCCTCACAGTGAAGAGCTTACAATTTAATGAAAGATGTGTTAGGTAACTTAAACTTCTCTGAAAGAAAGATACTGAAGCATCTACTATTTATAAATACACATATACACACACAAAAAGCATGGGACTTAGATACAGTTCTATATACTGACATTTTGTTATATCGTGTATAGTGAAAATCCACTTCCATTTCTAAATATGTGGAGGTCTCGCTAGCGCTTAATACATTAAAATTACATAGCCAGAAAAACCTTGATGGTGAGAGGGAAAACAAAAAGCTCCCTTAACTTGATCTTCTCAAGTTAAGCTTTGACCCAGATGGAAAGAAACTATTTTTATAAAAATGTATTGTGTTATATTATTTATTCTGTTCTTTGAGAAAGAGGAAGGCTGCTGTGAGGCAAAATGGAGGAAGCACTGAGGAAATGCCAGCGTGACTGGGACTGACAGTGCACCTAGATGGGCTGAGACCCGCAGAGCAAGCCTGTTTGACCATACAGCTCTGTCATCTTACATGGCCTCAAGTAAGTTCTGGTAATTACACTGACAAACAGGTTCATCACCTTAGGCAGTTATGTAATTTATAAACGTCATGGTTCCAGACTGGTTTCCTATAAAAACAGGGTTTATCCAAGCAAGTATCTTGCATGTATCTGTGTGCTGCTGTCTGCTAGCCTTATTTCAACCACTTCTGAACCCAGTGGCTAATTACAACCGATTCTAATTTGACAGATGTGTAGAGACCTCACAGATATTTAGCTCCTTCACAAGCTTGGAAAAGAGATGGAGGAGAAGGGGCTTATTAGAGCTTCCTGAAGGATATTTCACCCTGTGAAACACTGGAGGATCCAAACACGGAAGAATCACTGCAAACCAGGCTTTTAAATTCTGGTACACAGAGAATTACTTGTAATTACTGTAGCTACTGATGATAATGCTGACTGTGCAGATGTTGTAATACACTTACTGAAAGATTGGCTTCGGCAGAATTTCACCGTCCTGACAGTGTTGGCAATCATGCGCTGGAAAGAAAAGATGGGATGCAATCAGAGAACAAGCACTGTATTTCATCATCATTTAAACGAAGCACCTAACTGTGCCTGAGTGTGAAGACATATGCCAATAAAAGCAGTCATATGAATGAAAATATAATTTTAATGCTGATACCCTCATATGTAGGGTGTGATTTGCATTTACACAGGCTTTAAATGAGCATGAGTGTAATTTACATGCACTCAGAGAACCCTTTCCCTTGCTTGGATGCTGTAAAAAGCCTTAACTAAGAATGAAAATCAGCCCTTTCAATGCGCATTTCTTTGATAACATCTTCCCACATTAAAAAGTAAAAGGAGTATCATGTAGAACACCTTGGAGTATGTACACATGTTAATTTTAAGACCATCAGTTCCTAACAGCAAGGCCATTTCTAGAACATACTCAGCAATTAAAGAGCTTTCACCTTTCATATGAATTTGAGTTTAAAATGCAGCCCTCCTGGAAAATGACAGTGTAAAATGAGCATATGAGGGTGTATGTTCACCGATTCCCTCTGGAAGTATGCTCGATTAACAGGTGAGAAGGCCACCGTTAGAATGTGACCCTGTAGGCAAGTTTCATTAAACAGACCTGTTAGACAGTGTTAGCTTGCACAAGTGTATCTAACCCAACACGAAAAGTGGATTCACTTTTGGTGGACACTTCTACTGGCAATTCACAAAAAAAGCAGAAGTCACTTCAGTCCTTCTTGGCTGTGCTTGCTCTTCAGTAAATAAGCCACCATTTCACTCACTTAGCTAAGAAAGTATTAATCAATACATTTTGCTCTGATAAATCAGATGCTATTTTACAATAGTTTTTAAGAACAGAAATGAAGGTAAGTCATAAAGCAAAACATTTCAGATTTAGTTCTGGACTGCAAAATTTTAACTGGCTTGTGTGATTAGCACCACACAGGTAATACACCCACCAGCGCAGGGGCAAAATGAGTTCTTCTGCAAAACATCAAACAAACTGAAACTTCAGCAGTAAAACTGACTTCCTTAGCTAGATAGTTTGATTCAATCACGGTTATAAGGACAACATTTGTTTCAGTTTCTTTTGCTTAGATTAAGAGAAAACAGAGGAGGGAAATGCTATTCCTAATCGTAGTCTAACGTTTGTTCCCGCACTTTAACACGGTCCGACAATTACAACACAGCTACATGTTTTAACACAGCACGCTCTCACCAGACTGCTTCATACCTTCTGGAAATTTTGTGTGAGATTAATAAGCTAGTTATAAGCCCTCACACAATGGAATGATATATTTCTTACTAGTAAACAGAAAAACCTAGGGCATACGCTCCTCAAAATTAATACACAATTGTAATCTTACATGAAAATGATGTTATAAATAAAATACCTTTTTTAACACAGCACGCTCTCACCAGACTGCTTCATACCTTCTGGAAATTTTGTGTGAGATTAATAAGCTAGTTATAAGCCCTCACACAATGGAATGATATATTTCTTACTAGTAAACAGAAAAACCTAGGGCATACGCTCCTCAAAATTAATACACAATTGTAATCTTACATGAAAATGATGTTATAAATAAAATACCTTTGTGAAATCTGTCATTCCAGAAGTGGGAAGCACCAATGTAAAACATTCCTTACACACATACTGAATAATCTTAGACATTTTAATGCACTGTCAAGCATACAAAAATGGGTGTGACTGGTGGTCAGCATTAGAAACACTGTTGATATATCATGTACTACATTTTTGTGGATTACACATTTATAATCAAATGAAATGTAGCTATTCTGAAACCGACCTAAAATATTTTAATTCTAAAACACAACTTCCCAAAAGATCTAGGGAATTTGGATATGGGTCTGCTTATATTGTTTCTGAAGTCGTATGTATTTACATGTGGAAAATAAGTAGATTTCAAGTAAGAATCATTTTTATCCTATATTAATTTTCATACCTCCTCAAGCCATTACTACTAGGCAGATTTTCTAAGGCACTTACCTTGCAAACATTCTCATATGTGCCCAGCATTAAGCACGTGAATAAGCCCCATTGACTTCAGTGGAACCTCTTAAATACTCAAAGATAAGCACCCATTATAATATTGGATTGAGACAGAATGCACTGCATATTACAGTGTTGGTTCTTCAAGTCTAACCCAATCAAATGAAAATCAAAATGACATGAACATGTAAACATGAATATTTCATAACTCTATGGATTCATATTTGGCTCTGTTATGTGATGCTGCTATTTTGATTTATACCATTTCAAAAAGTACTCCTCTAAAATAACTATTTCAAGGAGAGACCATAAACCTGAAGTGCACCAGCCAACCTGATGAAGTTTCAAGAGCATCTAACTTCAGGGGAAGCTTGAACTTCATTTTCATGAAGATAGCTAGTGTTGCTTGATGTGCTTTCTAGATGGACTGTTAATACACACTATAATTTTTCATACCCGTAAATGTTTAGGTTTTGAAGCCTCATTTCATAATGATCTTTGGAGGTAGACTGTAGGCACGGTGTTTGATTAGTTTAGTATTAAGCCTCTTAGGTGAAAACTTAGATCTATCAAAAAAGCGTGTTCAGTGAAATCATTTTACTCTTTTTTTTCTTTATGTGGCGACTTTGTTCTGAAAAAAAGCCTAGCATTCAGAATAAGTACTGTAATGCTGTATTGTACTGAAAGACAAATTATGTGTGTAGCGAAGGTTTTTAAAAAGTTTTCACTATTTCTGAATTTCTCATTATATGGGCTATTCCAGGCAAGGAAAACCAAAGTGGCAATAAATTCGTCTGACTTCTGGTTAAAGGCTGAACTAACAGTTCAGCTGGCTTCCTTCAGTTGTCTGAAAGGCTTCATTTTTAGGAGTTACTTTGCCTATTCCTGAGGATAATCTCATTCAATCTGTTCATTCAGAAGTATCCTGGCAATGATGAAACACAAAAGAATGAGGAAGTGGGTGTTAAGGCAAAATAAATGGAGAAACTGCGGCCAGAAGACAGCACCGCAACCCAATGGGGAGATTCTGGAGCATTATGTGTCCTTGAAGAGCTCCTTTCACATTGCTTTTTTCCAGGTGCTGTTGTACTGTCTAATATAAACTCAAAAGAGCTCCTCTTTGGAAGGTGCAAATTGAATAGGAAAAACAGCATATGAAGCGGAAGTGAATTTCCCTTCCTGAATCTTGTAGATAAGTTGGATTGTCTCCTTTTGATTCAAGAAAACTAGAAACATGTACAGAGAAAATGTTCAGATGGAAGTTTAATTACCAGCTCCTTACAATTTTTCTTCAAAGAGAGGATTACCTCTTGTTAATGCCTGCAAAAATTAACCTCTGTTTACTCACTGTGCTAAGAAAGACCATTATCGAAAAGCCATACAAACCTAAATTTGGATCTTTCTGAAATAGAACCAACTGCATAATATAACAACAACCGCTACGATAAGTTGGATTGTCTCCTTTTGATTCAAGAAAACTAGAAACATGTACAGAGAAAATGTTCAGATGGAAGTTTAATTACCAGCTCCTTACAATTTTTCTTCAAAGAGAGGATTACCTCTTGTTAATGCCTGCAAAAATTAACCTCTGTTTACTCACTGTGCTAAGAAAGACCATTATCGAAAAGCCATACAAACCTAAATTTGGATCTTTCTGAAATAGAACCAACTGCATAATATAACAAGCAACCGCTACTACCAGCATGCTATATATATACAACAATACCCTTTCAAGTTTTAGGCAGTCTGGAATAGTGGCAGCAGGCCAGCACATTATCTTCTAATCCATTCCAAACCCAGGTTTCTAAATGTTATAAATATTCATATATGCCATAGAAAACTACTAAGGGCTTTAGTCACACACTTTTTGCATAATCTTTATGTTCCAAAAATGAAAGAATGTTTGCCCTTTTTTTGCATAAGGATCAGAGTGTGAATTCCCTTTTGTTCATCTCCACAAAACCTGAAAACCAATATGCGCAGATTCTCTAATCCTCATTTCACACCTGAAGGGTGAAGAGGCTTGACAAAAAGAAGCATCAGTGGCCAGCATCATGGCACTGTCTTATGCTGCCAGGGCAGGTCAGCACTTTCAGAGCTCTTTCGTGACTTCTGCTCCCTCTACAGGTGCCATTTCTGAGACATGCTGGGTAGTGCGACATGGAGATGGTGCCACAGAAAGTGATCTTTGTTCAGGCTGTCTGATGATTTGAGAAATGGCACTGATAAAGTTCCCAAGTAATTGCATCTTCCCTCTGTCTATGAATACAAAATTCTGTACTGGCAGTCAGAGTGCATGATTATACAGCTGAGGTTTGAAAAAAGCGGAAATCAGTAAGTGGTCAAGAGTATGACATACTGCCCGTCCTTAAGGACAGTCATGCTCAGTACTTTCCTCACTTTCCTCTCTCTTCTTTCCCTGGCAAGACATAATTCTAGGAAAGGGCTTTTAAATGTTTTTCTAAATATATAGCTATAAAAGCAGTGTCACTTGAATGTTATCTATTGCCACGTACTGCGCTGCAGGTTGTAGGTTGTCCTGTATCTGCTAAATCATACAGAGTTTATAGGAACTAATACTACTGACAGCTTTGGGGGCTCTCCTTCACCTGAAAAGAGGGTCATTAATGGGCCTAAAAGACAAATGTGTATTCTAGATCACAAACTAATTGTGTTTGCCATCTACTGCCATCTTTTTATCTTTCACCTACTTGCAGCTCTCAAAATGTCCTCAGCCTGCCAAACTACAACTACAGCATTTTAAAAACATTACAAGCCTATTCATTCCTTGTTACATAGACGGGTCTTCTAAAGCAACACTTACAACTAACATCTACTGTCAACTCACTAGTGGAGAAAAGATGCAGGTACTTTTTACCACACAAGGTCATGGAGTATATGCCAAACTAGAAGGTACATCTGAGCAACACCATGGTGGAAACAGCTTGTACCTTGTCTCCATCAGCTTCTTACAGTGAGATAAGTAAAAGACCTTCAATACTTCTCTAAAACCATGTCTTGTTTTGTAAAAGACAAAGCCTTTTACTAAAGACTTATACTACTAATACCAGTAATTTAGTTACTCTGTCTACTTACTGATAAAAGCATAACTAACATGTTCCAGGCTGGATTTTAAGGCCAAATGCTTGTTCCCTCCATGCCCCACCCCTTGCTTCATGCAATTAAATGGCATAGTAAAGAGCACAAGTACAGTGCAAATGCAAAGAGTATACCTATTTCTGACATATTCTATATTGTTTGCCCACATCTTGTACAAACCAAATGGGTCCGCTTACAAACTTCCCTCTTCACACATAGCTGTGGTTCTACCACACATGGTATTCTCTTCCCTGGCTAGCTGTCCCTGCCCTCCCACTCCTCACAGCCTCCTCCAAATAAGAGGCATCCATGGGGATCAGGAGATGCGGAAGGGGAAGAAGGAGCAGGCAGTTACAAAGGCAGCAGCAGATAAAGCTCAGCAATGCTCTGCAGAGTGATGTCCCCCCACTACTGCCAATACCACAGTTCTGTCACTATACCTTTGAAAAGACCCATTTATAGGAAAGTGTAGCAGGAAAAAATTGACTCGGTCCCTTTCCTTTTTAGCTTGACTTGCTAAAAAAAACTAGGCTAATGTAGTTTAACACCATCTGTCTGTTTTTCCCTTCTTCTCTAGATAATTTTGTCAAATTTGAAAAAAGAACCCAGAGTTTTCAAACATAAGAAAGCTCCTACCAATTTTCTGTGAAAATAGATGGCTGTGGACAAGAGAGAGATCGTGTAAGCGCCCTCTTCTCCTGTCTCCTTCAGGGAAAAGGCTGTAGTGCAAGTTCCTATGTTATGACAAAAGCCTATTCACACAGAATTCCCCAGCCATGAAGAAACCACACATGCCCTAGCCACGAGGAAAGCTCTGAGCAGAGCTCAGGCAGCCATGAAACACAAACGTTTAGGAAACCAGGCCTCTCTGGCACTCAGGGAACTCCTGGCTCAGACACTGCCTGACAGCTCCTGCATGTTTTAAGATGCATCACTTAATATAAATAATAACAAAACCATCAGAAAACATAAAAGATTTAAAGGAAGCTGTTTCAGCTGAAGAGATGCCCCTAGATCAAACTTCTACTTTTGGCTGCCAGTTACAGGAATAAAGTTGTCAGCAGCACATCAGCTGTCGGGATCAGAGCTCTGTGGTGAGAATGAAGACACGATGCCAGAGGCTGTTCTCTGTTTCATCACTGTGCTTACACAAGAGTTGGAAGGACCCACCTCCTCCGGTGGCAAATGGCAACTACCAAGATATTTTTATTCATAAATTTCAGCAAGCATCAAAGTTAGGATGGATCGAGGGAAATCATCTTCCAAAGAATGAAGATGTTTTTGACAGATCAGTAAGAGTGGCTCCCAGCAATATTCAGAGGTATCTCCATCTGCTTGCAACAGAGCATCATGCAGTAGAACAAATAGGCAGAAACAATAAATGGCAGGACATGATTCCCATGAGGAAATCTGGTTTCTGCTTTTCTCCTGAAAATGGCAGAATAACATCACAGATTTACCTTGAGTTTATACTTATGTAAAAGAGCTGAATTTATCTGAGAGTTATCTGTCTGAGTGGTCTTGTCTTCACTAGTTAATATCTGGCAATTATGTGTGGATATGACAGTTGTAAGCTTAACACAAGTAGGCGGTAGCGACTGAGGTTTAACAGTAGGCTTTTCTTCTTTGCTTGACCTGATGACACATGCAAAAAGCTAAAAACTGCCAGGTCCACATTAGGATTTGTATGAATTATGTGGGTGGAATCTGAATACATGTTGCTTTGAAGAGCTATGGGTTGAGAGAAGCAGTAAAAACACCATAGAAGCATGCAGAATAGCTAGTGAAGAACATTAAAAACACAAAAGAGAAACTTGTAGTAAGGCCTGGAGAAAAAGCAGAGTGAGCTTTTAGGTAGAGCACTAACTGAAGAAAGCTTTAGAATACTGAGAAAGGAGAACGTTTCCCTTTCCGTTGTGTGGAGGAACATGAGACATTATATTGATTCTTTGAAAAATATATAGCATCAAAAATACATTAATTGATCTTCACTTTCCCCTCCTAAAGGAAATGCTCAAAGCTCAGGTTACTGGTCAGAGTGATACTACATTCACGCAGTACAAAATTTTATTGAAAACTTTTGGCTGCTACTAGTAAATCCATGTTCTGGAGATAACATACTTCTGAAGATAAGGCAATGTGCAGACTAGGGTGAAAAGGCCAGACCTGCAGGAGCTTAGATAGAGATCAGTTTAAGCTGCTATAAAATTCACTCTTGGCCTTGGGAGTGCCAACCTGTGGTATAAAGTGGTGCAGAACCATTTCTAAATGACAAGCTTGGGTTGAACTTCTGTCTATGGGCAAATGCGCACAGGAGAGCTCTTGCCTCCTGTAATGGCTTTTACACATAGTCAGGCATAAAGAAGAGCCTGAGGCATACAGCTTTGAGACCTGCGGATGTACCAGCTCTTCTGGCTCAGGAGCTGTAAGTAGGCCAAGTGAGGGGGAGAGCATGGAGCCAGCCACATAGCCATGGCTATTGCAGCTGCCATCCCTCCTGGTTTGGAGGTGCTCCAGCCAAGTCCGAGATCCCTTTGTGTTCCCCAAAATATTTACTGTCTACACTAAAATATATACATTTATCTATCTAATTAGAACAGGCAGTCCAGGAAAAAGTCCTTTTCTGCAGATAGAAGGCTCAAGGAAGGAGATGGCAACACAGTCTGCGTATGCAATTACATAATGTCATTATTGCAAAGTGAGGTCAGGCCCTTACTCAGGCATTAGCACTACCATTTACCCACAAAAAAGTCTCAGCTTAGTAGAGAGGTATTTTCACCCTAGGACAGAGGCTGTCCTGGAGCTACAGACTAAAATCTAAAAGAAGAATTCACTCAGAGTGATGATCACTTTTCTGTGAAGTCTTCTAAAGAGCTGAACGTCCTCCTTTTTTCCGCTCTACGGTATCAGTGCTCAGAAGGTAAGACAAGCTCCTCCATAGTGCAGTGGAAATAACCATGGAGTGGTTCTGGTTACTACAGTACTAAGAACAAGCAGATGTAGGTGCCAGAGCAGATATGCTCTAGCATGGCTGCTTAATGGTGCTTTACTGCTGGAACAGTAAGTCAGGTTTGGTTTTGCAGGGTAGCCGCTCATAGCTGGGCTTGGCTAACCCTGGTTCTCAGATGCAGGTGTCATTAACCACATTAATTAAGAACATGGCCTTAGCAACCAAGAAAATGGCTTCTCGCTGCTGAGAAACTTGAGTTTCAGCTGAGATTTCTGCCATGGGAAGTTGCCTGCCTGCAGTTTTTGAAAACGGTGTTTGAAATGATGAGAGCTTAGGTGCAGGATTTAAAATAAATCAAATTTGAGCATAATCTAGCCTTCTATCATTGATCCCCCTTTCCAATATGAAAGCAATCAAGTCACAGAAGTCTCCTTTCACTTATTAAAGGAAAGAAGAAAATTAGATGTTGTGCGCGTTCTGTATTAAAGCTCCTTTCATTTTCTGAGGAGCAATGCAGAACTATCCCAGCCTGAGGCAGTTCAGTCCTGTTTGAAGGAACAGCAGTTAAAATCACAGCTTCGTCCCAAACTGGCTGTTAAAAATTGTCTCTAGCAGCTCTGCTTCCTGTCACTGCTGCTGCCTCTCCTAGGAAACATTTTGGCTGTGCATGGCTCAGTGGGCAGTTTCTTCTCCACCTCTGTGAGGTTTTCCAGAAACCCAGAGGTCCCAGGCACTGTGCACAACGCAGACTATTTTTGCCAGCTCTTGGTCCTGCCTTCACTTTCTCTAGCCCTGGAAGTCATTGTTGAGAAGTTCACTCTTGAAGTGATGAATAGGGAGGTCTTTTTAAATTTTCTTTTCAAATATGTCATACATACCATTTTTTCAAAGTTTACTAGATTGTCAGTGAATGTCTTGTTTCCCTCATGAGTAAACGTCATGTCTGTATAGAAATAAAAGCCACATAAAAGCCCATTACTGAATCATGGCCACATAAAACAGCAGAACATTTTATCTATCCCTTACAAAAATCAAAGCAGCTATAAAAGTAAAACATTCAGTTTTTAATTTGCAGCATTTCTGAGACTAGTAAAATTGAGGTATGATATTCAGATGCACTAAAGCAGTTTTTCTTGTCTCTGTGTCATGCTTTTTATAATGGAAAAAGATCATACCTCACACTGAGATTGATTTTTGCTTTTTCTTGCTGCTACTCTTATTCTTCAAATATTTGACAAATAGCTTTCAAGTTAATAATTCTGGTAAGATCCAAGCTTACCTTTTATAAGTAGTGGCATGAAAGGAATTATTGGAGGGTCCAATTTAGCTACAGTCAGTCTGTAGGCCCTATGGTTTCTTGATGGATCCTTAAGAAAAAAAGAGAAATCAAGTAATTACTAGTATGTATTATTATATGTATTGAGACACTGTATGCATTCATTTAGATGCCATGGCATTTATTAAAATCATTATTGTCTCCTGTGGCTTTAAAAGTGCATCTGCAAACTAAGACACCTTTTATCATTCTCCCATACAGCTTAGATGATGAGAATGCAGCCGCTAAACATAAACATTTTTCATGCCAAATAGCAAGGTAAGATATGATTACCAAAAAATTGTTCATAAAAGGAATCACACATTTTTCCTCCCTCCTTGCAGCTGCAGATCCAGTTTTGCATATGTTGTAACACTAAAATGTATTGCCTGGAAAAATCCAGGTTGGAAAATATAATTTCCCATATGTAGTATCAGAAAACATGTGATAAAGCTTTTCTGAGTTCCCAGATTAACTTTGAGTGGTACATAAGTTCTCTCAGAGTAGGTTCCTAAGAGTATAATTTATTAGTCATACATACTTGTTTTAGCAGCTCTAAAATGGGATCATAAACTTCTTAAAGTCAAACAAGGACATATAAAATGTTCTGAATCAAGGAACTGAAATCAGTTACTCAGAAACTGAATTAGCTCAGATTGTGCATAGAATAAGGGATCTATTGCTATTCACCATTAAGCTTTCAAACTCTGCATAGATCTTCTTGAACTTGCTTGGAAGTTTCTGTTAATAAAAACAAAAATAGCAAACCTTAATTAAATCCAATTTGTGTGGCAATTTTACTGTAAATGCTAGTTCCTTCTACAACGCCCTAAGTCAGGAAAGTGCTCTTTTTGCCAGATATTTCTAACAATGTGCTAATCTAAAATACAACATGTTTCCTAGCAACCAGATTATAAATAGAGACGGGACCAGCCATGAAACCTGGATCCTGATTTAAACCCCAGCTTGAATTTACTCCTTTGGGATGTTTAGATTCAGATTTTTGTTTGGCTCACATCGCAATCACTGAATTCAGAATGTTAGTGAAAGTTCAGGTCAATGGTTTCAGGACATTCCTGATTATAGCCTATCTGAAAATATAATTTACACACAGCTTGCGTAGGGGTAGCTCAGCTTAATTATTCATACCTATGATGAACTGCCCTTGCAACATTCAAATCCATGCCTGGGCATTTCCAGGAGGTTTTTTTGTTCATGCTTATGTATCACCAACTATTGCTCAAATTCTTGACATGCCCAGCAGCCAAGGGCCTCTACAACTTTCTGGGGTATAAATTAATGAATAGTTTTTCAGTCCACAACACCTACACAAATAAATCATGGTCAGTTGATCATGCAGTGATTGGGATGAGATGGGCTTTACTAAATATTTTCTTTCCCCCTCATGTTATGTTATACATATTAAATAATTTTACTCTAAAGACTGTATGTTTTAAATTAGTTTCAGAGATCACAGTAATGTTTTATGCGCACTCAGAATATGTCAGCTTTCTAGTTTTAATAAGAAATTTCTCTATATTTGCTGATTAAATCAGACTACTACTGGCAGCGGGTATCATTAAAAATTAATAGAGACTTTATAGTGCAGAAATGATTTTTTGCAATACTTCCTACATTTGGAGTGTGTACCCTAGCAAGATATTTACACTGTGCCACAGCAAGGGCCTAATTTTTAATGATGTGTGTCAACAACTGTGTGCCTAGTTTGCATATGCATGCAGATTAGGTATTTGTGAAATAAGTGGTATAATTGGACATTTGCACCTGCAAATATCTAATTTGTGCATGCAACTAATGTAAATGCATGATAATATAGCAAAAATCAGGTCTTGATATGTTTGTTTTTAAGTATATTCTGTATATGTATCTGGCTAAAAATCAAGCTGCAGAGATTCTCTTGATAAACTGAGTGCCCTACAGAACCAGAGTGATAATATTTCCCTGAACTCAGGTTCATACCGCACATCTACAAATGATCTGTGCCCCTCCAGCTCAGACCCTGTGCCCATTTCAGACTGCTGTATGTAGTATATACATTCAATTCCCTCTTCTCTCTTCATATTACTCCTGTACTGTCTCAGCTCTCCCAACTGTTCCCCTCAGTAGCCACAAATGAAGGGTCATTATTTTGAGAAACTGATCTGCAAATCTTTGCCTTTAGCACGGATTGTATGTGCCACTTGCAACATGCACTTTTGAAAACTGGGCTGGTGTCTTCTCAGATGTGTTAGTCTGATCTCCTATTTCAGAGCACTTTTTAAAAGGTGTTCAAATTTTGGTCTCGGTTGCATCAATGACTATTTTGAATTTCTAATGAACAAAATGCATGCACATTCAAAACTGCACTGCTTTTGACAACCAGTATGTTCTTAGTGGTTACATGTGCTTACTACCTCACCCTGCTGGACATTGCTCCCTTTTTATATACTCACATAGCAAAGAGCAAAGCCACAGAAAAAGGTGGAAGCTCTGAGAATGAAGACCAAACTGATAGTAAGCAGGGGAATGCATGTCAGAGAGAAAAACAGAACTAGTTAGGACAAACCCACATTTTAATAGGGCAACAGAGTCCATATGGAGATCAGAAAATAATATGTATAAACAGAGGGTGGACTTTAGAGAAGTATCTATGGAGTGATCTCACTAAATGATCAGTGAAGTCAAACAGAGGATGGACTGATGTAAGAGGTTAACTGGCTAACTCGTTCATGCTGTTGGGCAGTTTAGCTCATCAATAGAAGCTGCTGTTGTCACTCTTGTTAACTGCTTGTGAGTATTCAACACATGTATGGGTATACTGCCTTACTAATAAAAAGTGTCAGCCTTAGCTAAAAGCTTATGCTCAGGAGCTGAATTAGTAGATGTAATTTTATCAATAATAAAGGCCCAAGTCATGTTTTTGCTAACTAAAAGCACAAATCCCAGTCAAACTTCTTGAAATTGGATTTTAGCTAAGACTTACCTCCCATGTTAACGAGAGACGGCTCACAGCAACATTACTCAGTCCCATAATAATAGCGAAAAAGGAATTCAGATTTTTGTATTCTTTACAGCTGAAACACAAAGGGCCAGGTTTTAAGTTGTATGTATCAGTCAGGGCAAAAGTACACATGACAACCTTAAGAGAGCTGAACCCAACGCGTTCAACACTGAGCGCGTGAAAAAATGATCTCTCCCATCTGATGGCCTGTCCATTGGAGACTGCTGCCCCCTCAGATCTTCTGGCAGAGCTGCTCATACAAATTCTCCCACATCAGCTTAGGGACAGTGAGCAGGGTTAGTGAAGATAAGCTGAAATGCTAAAGCTACCCCAACTTATTCTGACTAGAACAGGTCAGGGAGTGCCTTGTTAGTGGATCTGAGGGGAGATAAGGATGAAAAGCAGCCAGGATAGGCTGTCAGTGATAACCTCTTCCCCAGGCACAACTAAATCCAGAAAGGGATATCTGTCCACAGCCTGTGACATTGAGAATGAATTGTGGCACGGTAAAAATAATTAGTACCACACAGCAGTAGTGCTCAAACATAGTAGGCAGCTGCAAATATATCTGCAATATGTAATTTGAATCTATCTTTCATTTTAAAAAGGAAAAGTTTTGCCAAATACCCTGTTAAGCAATGTAATTTGACAAAGTACTTGTTAAAATCCATCTAGATGCATGACATTCTACACCAAATATTCTGTAAATTCTACAGGCTCTACACTAAATAGCTCAGTTCCAGATAGCGGACCACTGTAAGGAAGGAGAAACAGTGCTGCATGGCTCCACTGCATATATGCTGCCTGTAAAATGTCAGAAAGTGGATCCTCCAAAGCACCACAGTGTGCTCCGAGCAGAAGTCCCTCTGCCTCCCAAAACAGACTGTATTGGAAAAATCTTCCTGTTAGTATGAATTGTGAACATACACCTATGCACACACGCTTGTCTCCAACACAAACACACATATGGTTAAAATCTCTCGGTACTTACAAGAGCATATTCATCTTGGCATTTTCCCTGTAAACACACACCCTTCAAAAATTTCTTACAGGCTTCTTGGGCTTGTAACATATGCATGTGTATGGAAAGAATGATTTTCAAAAACTGAATGAAAGTGTCTGAGTATAGCGATACGCAAGAAGGCTTCTAAATAGCCTGTGGGTATATTTATATATATACAAACTGGCTTTGTGGATATCCGTAAGAGTATGTGCGAGTACATCCTAGAAGGCCTTTCTAATACAATTAATATGGGAAGAACTCACTGTAGGAAATATAGTTCGCGTCTCCCCTCTGTTTGAAAGTTTAATCCTACAATGGCTGGAGAAAAGAGATGAACCTGGTAACCTCTACATCCTTTCCCAGCAGATGCAAAGGCAACAACGGCTCCTGGAACTGAAAGCACATGTGCACAGCACTTGGAGCCAGCACTTGGCCTTGTGCTTGCCCACACAGACAGGGAGCACCCATCACAGGGTGCGTGGGGTGGCAGACACTGTGATGTGCCTTCTGCGATGGCGTCTGAGCCCCCCGTCACAGAATTGAAACAGGGTTCTCAGTAGCAGTTATCTTTGAAAATCTGTACGTGCAAGGCATCTCGTTACCACCAGTCATGCCTAAGATTAATAGTGCAGCACTGAGCTGTTCTCCCCGAACACTTTTCTAATGAGTCTAGTACTTCTAGGTAGGGTAAAGTTCTCATTAGGTCTCAAGGATCTTCACAAGCAAAACTTCCTCAAAGATATTGCTTCAAGGCCTGGGCCCGCTTCTTTTGATCCAATTCCTTGGCTTTTTCTCCCCTCTAACTTCGGTGCACTTTGTGTTTGTTTTACCGCATGCTGTAGCACCTGTTACCATGGCAGCGCTGCACCGAGGGCAGCAGCCTGGCAAAACTTCCCAGCGCCTTTCCAGCGTCTGCAATTAAACTGCCCGCTCAGTTTGCACGGAGGAAAATCTTGTGCTTCGGATTTCTCTGCTTTTAGGAGACAAAGAGGACTCAGCAGAGCAGACCGCTTTTAGCTATTTATTTTTAGCATTGTAGTGATACCAGAAACATGGAAGTAAACAGAAGGTTGTCAAGCTGTTGTAAATAGCATAGGATTAAACCCATGACACTGAGGAACCCACAGGCTAGGGTGGTTTATTAAGGAGATATTTAACTGTAATTTTTAGGATACTTGATTTCAAGTGTTTATGGAAATTACTATTGTATCTTAATTTACCACATTTCAACATTCTCCCATTTCGTGCCTCTGAGTTTAGAAGAGACCCCGACGTGTCTGCGTGTGGGTGCCACTGCCCTCTCCTGGACACAGCCCGCCAGACCGGTGGCTTCCCGGTTTTGCTCTGCGGAATGAGATCATGCAATATGCGGTATACATATTTTTAGAAACTAAAGAGGTAAATTCTGTCCTCCGTTCTGAATATAAACCTGATCCTGCATGCCCACTACTAGATTTTGAAAATCTTCAGCTTCGACTAACCGTAATCCGACCGGAGGGCCCAAAGCAGTTCCCAGAAGGAAGTCGGTACTTGCAGAGCGGGGCCCTTCCCGGAGGCGGGAGGCACGCTGATGCAGAGTTTCGATGTGAACACTGGTTTCAGCTATGTGGAATTATTAATTGGGAGGAGGGCAGCATCACAACTGTAATAGTAATCTCTTCTTTCACACAACTACATTTAACGATGCAAAAAAGTTAAAACTCATGGTTTAACTGCAAGTAATAACGTCTTTGTTTCGTAAGACTGCCTAAAGGCCTCTAGTCACAATGCCCAAAGTCGTAGACAAACACTTAAATAGACAGTTCCTCACTGTACACCTCAGCAAACTGTTTGTTCAGATGGCGATGAATGTACTAAATACACGACAAACTGGAAAGGAAGGAAGAGGGTAACAGTGACAAAAAACTGTAGCTATGCAGGGCATGGGCATGCCCCTGCTCCTTCTGAAGTCAGTCACACCCTTGCCCTTGACTTCAGTGATAAGGAGTCAAGGCCGACATCTTTGGCATGAAGGCTCCAAAGAGTTTAAGTTTTAATATGAATAAAAGAATACAAGACAGCAAGAATTGCCTGCTACCCAACCTCAGACCCAGCAGTTAGTAACAAAAAAGGACATTCATATAGTTGCATTTTTAAACAAAAGTATTAGAAAAATATACCAAGCAGACTAAAGGTAACGTGAGCCTCGTCATCTCCGTACTACATCTCTTTGCTCTCCCCTCTTGGTTTTCCCACTCAGGGCAATTCTGAGAACAGAATTCCTGAACAGCGCCAGAAATACTTCTGTCCTCAGGAAAATTAAGGCTCAGTTTTGTTAATATTTACTAATTCACATATTAATATTTGCTAATACATGTAAGGGTAAATGAAGGATTCTCCTAATGAACTGAAATACATTTACTCACAAATTTTATGTGAAAACATGGCCCCAAGAGATCACAGATCAAGGAGCGATGGAGAGTAAGACAGGAAAGAAGACTACATATTAACAAGGTTCTATACAGCCCTATAAGGAAATGGACAGAATTACCAAATAGAGAACATTTTAACCTCTACTGTGTGTGGCTGTCTGAAAATAAAGAAGAAAAATAACAACAAGTTGACTAAACTGAACCTCATTTCCAGCTCACAGATGACTGTATACTTACTGGGCTGCTATCTTAATATACTTCTTTAACAGCTGAACACGCTTGCTGAGTTGAGAGCAAAGACAAATCTCAGTGACCACCCAGAACTGAATTTCATTAAATCTTCTTAAAAACAAGTCCAGATTTGCTGTCGTCTTTTTAAAATTGTGCCTTCCAAAAGTGTGATAGATCAATTCCAGCTAGGAAAAAGAAAACCATTTGGGATTTTTTTTTAGAAATCTCATCTTTTGGACAGAGGAAAGAGGCTAAGAATGACCAGGTAAGTATCTAGCCTGAAACTTGCTCTGCAGTTCATGTTTATTGCTGTACAGATGACAAGAATTCAGGTTGCAAATCCAGTAGACAATAGCTGAGGCATACTAAAAGCATAACTACAGGCTATGTATAAATAGCTTAATACCTTAAAACATACAAAAGTAGTTCAATAAGCAGCACATGTCCAGGAGAAGTTTAACTTTATTTTTGCATTTTGCCTATAACATTAAGAATGCCTTATACTTTCAAAACTTGTAGGTAGCTTTATTGCAGTATTTTTTAAAATCAAGGTTAGAGAAAGTTTTGCAAATAATGCACAAACCTACAATGTCCAACTAAACATTTTCTAACAGATTCTAATCTGCTGAATAGATAGATCCTCATACCTCATGCACACAGTTGAAGAGCTCCCAGTCATAGATTGTCATCTGATGTGCTAAGTCTTTGGAGCACATCAGTTCAAATGTTCCCACTGTACCAGTAGATGGTCCTTCTTGTTCTGGTAATGGTGCCTACAAATGGCAAAATAGTATAAAAATATTTTATAAATACTAAATTGCATGATTGGTACTTTTCTTCCATAATATTTCTGATATTTTTTTCCAGTGTGACCACTTTCCTAAGTATTTTTCTAATAATAAAACTGAAATTTGCTTTTAACCACAGGCTGGCATTAGGAAATGAGAAGCCCTGTGCAAAATCAGTATCCACTATGCACAGGATAGTCAGGGAAATTCTGAAAGCTTTTCAGAGGCACTGTACGGAAATGAAACAGACTGTTCTCAGTGTGTTATTTTTAGCATTGTTCTAAAATTTGAAGCCAGAAATAAATACTTCAATACATGTTCTGCTAACTAAAGCGTGTCTGTTTAGGAGCATAGGTCTTTCCACAAAGCTTTTGTTATCGGTTTCCTTTTTCACATACACAAATAACTAGGCCACAAAGCACAAGCCAAATACTTTTGCGAATTACAGATTCTAATGATGAGAATTATTACACCTGCCATACTTCAGAAATCTGCAGTGATTGCAAGATCTTCTGATTGTTTATAAAATAAGCCTCATACTTTCTCTTTGACAGTACAGGGATGTACTACTTGTGATTGCAAAACTCCTGGCTGTGCTAATTAAAGTTATATGCACATCGTCTTTTGAGAAAGAATCCTTTAAAACATTCAAGTATAAAACATTTTTGAAAGACTTCCATACCACCCAATAAATGAGATGTGATTTACAGTTTTGCACACAAGTAAATCTTACATTAAAGAGAGATTTAAAACATGGCTTGAGATCAAGTCAGATTTGAAGTAGTCTGCTGTATATATTAGGGTCAAAGCGTTTGAACCAGCACTGCTAAAATACTAACAAACAACCCTCTTGCAAATTCAAATGCGTTACATCAGTAAAGCTTCCTGTGAACCCACGTTTTAATTGTTTTGTTTCCAGGAGAGGGCAGTAGAGTTCACTTACAAGTTTCCGAATTTCTCATCGGGTCTTTGTTAGACAATTACAGAGCAGGGAATTGTCAACAGGCTCCTTTCTGAGTACAAACTCAATGTACAGTCTGCAGGGTTAACAGACCATATTTACATACTGGATTATAAAAAATGAGCTTACTAAAATGAATCCCCTTTTATATAAGAATATTATATTACCAATAGAAAAAGGACTCACTGGATTCATACATCAAATCACCTTCTCAATAACACACAGTATGCAGGACCTTTATTTCTGTATGAGTTCTTGCTTTGTACTCTAGGGAAAACTTGTTGTTCAAATATCATCATAATACAAACTAATTAAAAATTATTAAACTAAACCACAGGCATTATTACCTTAAAAGCTCCATCTACAATTATAAAAAATAGTGTATATAAGCAAAGTATTATCTAAAAAAAATCAGGACATCCATCAATATTGTAACAGCCTGCAGATTGCTCTGAATTTGTATGCACAAACACAAAATTTCTTTAGTTCAAGACAGAGTATGAATTAAAAGTACAGCAGTTTTGTGTAGAAAATCCTAATTTGTGGAAATCTGTGGAAAGAGAATTGCCCACAGACTGAAAAAGGGCTTTTTTCCCCTATTTGGAGACAAACACAACATAGCTGTTACCATAACAAACACATATTTTCCAAGGCTAGGAAAGAAGCACTTAGATATAACTAAGTTATAGTTAGTGATAACTTAGTTATCACTGCATATTTGAAAATTCATCTAACCCAGAACAATTTTCACATGGGCATTTCCAAGTGTAATGTGAATAAATGTACAGGCAGCAGCCAGAAATTGGAACGTGAAAGGATTAAACGAGGAGGCAGGTAGGGTTGTAACATTTTTCAATTTGTTTATACCTATTGGAAAAAATGCAATTGACAAGGGGATGTATTCTGTTATGCAGTGTTGAGAACCTTTTTTAAGGTGCTGAGTGTTCCCAATTCCTACTGAAGTCAGTCCAGTTGACGAAAACTAGCACATTGCAGCCCTGTATCTTGGAGCTCCCTGTAGCATTTTGAGTACTTGATCCATGGTAAATAGCACAGGGGAAAAGGCACAGAAAGTCATGACAATTTGCTGCCAAAGCTATGTCTACACAGACAATGCAGAGCCATATAAAAGTACCCAGCGTAGTTGTGCTGATGCAATACGCCTGCTTTAGAGTAGCATGCCCCATGAGGGTATCTACTTGGCAGGATTAATTAACCTTAAGGGAACACCAGAATTTAATAAACTGAACAAGAGGTATCTCTGCATGGAACTACAGTATGCTGGATGTGTATTCCCTGGTTACTAAATTGAAAGCAGCAGCAAAGCATAGATTTTACCATATCTATAAAAGAAATCAGGCATACATACTAAGTGGCTTGTTAAAAGCATACAGGAGGCTGAAACAAGGCTAGGAGTAATAGAGTTCATGCTGACATGACTTGGCAATGACATTTGTTTTTAATGAAATAAAAGGAACAAAAAGTACAGTCAACTCAAAATCTATAAAAGCAGACCCCATGGAGATCGTTAGAATTACTGTATAAACTGTAACTACTTATGAACAATTCTACCTAAGAAAAAAACAAGACTTTATACCAGGAATATTTTCTGTGATTCTACTTAGAATCATCTGAGATTTTGACACAGTATTTTGTGGTGCTGAGAAATAAAAGATTTTAAGGAATTTACTGTTGGAATCAAGTCTCCAGAATGCTTTAATTGGTAAAATCTGTCTTCAAGAATACATGCCTGTGGCCTTGAGGAGATAATTCTGTAATCAGGAATTACTGCAAGTCTTAGTGACAATATTCAGCTCTTCCTAAATGCTCAGTGTGACACAGAGAATACTGGGATCAAGTGCTGTCATGTGGATCAGATGGATTTCTGCTCTAGTTTAGGAAATGACAACATTACCTTGTTTTAATTTCAGGGCTCATCCCATAGCACTGTGACAAGCCCTTTGTTGTGAATGTTTCCACTAGTTTTTACCTAAAGCACTGATAATGCAAAAAGGGCCAAGTGTTCAAATAAACTGAAGAACTGAACTTCCTGAGAACTGCATACATACATACCAATGAATCGAACTGATCACGTGGGCAAGCAAACAGCCGTCCATTAACACTGAGAGTTGTAAACACTGAAACATCATGAGGTTTGAGCACAACCTTTTCTGTAAACATGAAACAAAAGATTGTTTATTATATATATGTAGAATTTACAGCAGGACTGATCCTACAGCTGCACAGATCACCCTTCTGGTAACAAATTTTGCACAGTAAACCAATGTCCAGGATACAAAATAGATGACAACAAGGTCCTCTTTATTGAAGAAATGTGACAAGCAGCTCTGCCCAAACCAGTTTCCTACAGAACTGGCATACAGAACTAGAATCCCAGCCTCAAACTGTACAGACAGGTCAAGAAGCCTGTGCTGCCATCTCTAGGAACTACCTGCAAAAATTCAGCCATAATTAGGGACTCCATTCATTCTTCTCTGAGCTGTAAGCATTTGGAAAGCTGTTCTTAATAGAAGTTGCCTTGGAAGACAGCAACTGAATAAGGAGGTGGTGAAATGCAACTGTATTCAAGTCTCATTTATAGCAGTTCTAAAAGAGCATCACATCACAGGTAAAGAAAAGATAATGAAGTAACTTACAAAACAGTCTCTTCCAGCATGTGCTGGCTGTCAGCAAATCTGACAATAAAAAATTGCTGCAACTGCAAAAAGTAGAGCCGCCTGGTGTCAGTTCTCAGGAAGTGAGCTGTTTTTGGCAGGCATCACTGTTTGCAAAAATGCCTTCCAACACAGCTCTCATTAGCTCTGTGTGTGTCCACACAGTCATATTCAACCAGAGCACTTCAGCAACACCAATTCTCCAGCAGAATTCACCTTGCAGTTACTCTCCCATTTCCACATAGCGGGGAAATTACAGCCCCTACAGCCTACAGTGGGGGGCTGACTCCTGACCCTTCGTGAACGCTAGGTCAGTGGGCTTGGCACAAAGTTGCTCCGTAGTGTTTTACGTGGACAGAGTGGCCAGAATGATAGTGACCACTACTGGAATGTCTGCACTGCAGTGCTTTCTGCTGTTGCCGATTCATACGTCTAGCCTGAAATTATCCATGCTTACTTCCTATTTCTGTTGTTAAAAAACTCTTACAAGTCTTAACAGTGAAGGAAACTTAGAGTAGCTCTGCTCTGTAACATGCAGATACACAAGCTTTTCCATTTTTCCTGTCTCCCATGTGAGCTCTAGGCTGTGCCTGTAGTAGGGAAAGGACTTGCCTCTGAGACAGAACCTGTGTACCAGCCAAACGTGCACATGAATATAAAAGCCATGACTGAAAAAGCCATAAAAGCCATAAAAGCCAGGGTCTTTCAGTCCCTCCCGACATTCTGCTGCACTGTAAGTGAGAAGTGTTAAAGGTGATGCAAATACAGTACCTCCTCCTGAACTCATCTTTACTATGATGAGGCCTTCTCCAGAACCCAGCTTATCTGCTACTGCGCTGATCACTTCCTTCACAGAGGAAGACACTGGCACCCGGATAGTGGTATAGGTTTGGTCTATGCAGTACACCTTAAACAGAACTAAAGAAAAAAATTGCACTGTGTATGCCATGTGTAACAACCACAGAGACTTTACTGTACAAATTACTTTCACGTCAGTAACCACTCCTCACAAATTAAACAAAGCAACAATAAATCACTACAGTTTTGATAGCTCCCCATTCCTCAAATGTTCTACAACTTCTAGTATAGACATCTCTGATTTCCTAGCGCTTTTAGTAAACCATGAAGTACTAGTGTTTCTGTATTGCTACATTATTTATGGATGCCAATTTAATCTGGCACTTGGTTATGTTCCAGACATTATAATATTTTAAATTAACACTTCTTTTCAAGAGTCAGGAAAACTGGTTGCAAACTCTCTTAATTACAGGAAAATAATTTTCATATTTACAAAATAGATTTGAAAATAGTTTTGGTTACAACCAGAACTTAAATCAAACCGTGTTGCGACCTGTTTTTTACAAGCAAGTACGTAATTGCTGAATCAAGAATGTTGTAGACGATGAAGAAAAATACCCTAACAGTAAGAATGCACTTGAGTGTACAGTACAAATCGGCTCACAGAGTAATACATGAACCTAGGCCTCTGGCTGCCTAGAAATCAATATGATAGTACATTAGCCTGCAAAGCGGCCCTAGGTGACATGAATTTAAGACAGAAGAAGTTAGCAAAATACTTCTTCAGCTCAGCTGTCAAGCCAAGCCAAGCAGCCCCTGGGGTTATAGCTGTCCGTGGACTTTCAGTGTTCACTGTGCTGCCTGCCCTACGAATGAGAAAGGTGCAGCCATACGCAAGGGGCGGCTACTGCCTGTGCACACAGACACGGGAAGTAGTACTTCCCTGGCAGCAGCAACTGTTTCGCTCTTTGTAGACAATGATACGGACAACAGAAGCTGCATGCCTGGCAGGATGTCTGCTGCTCATACGCAGTTACTTCCAGCTTTTGAAACGGCTCTTCCGTTGGTTTGATTTATGCTACCAGCTTTCTCAGCTGTATGACCTTGCATTTTGTTCCCTTATTTTTACTGTTGTTCAAGAGGAAGAGCTACCCTTTAATATCAAACACCTTGAAGCAGAAGCTATTTTCTGTGATGAAGATGCACCAAAACAACCATTGAGAGACTGGCCCTAACAGTTGCAAAGAAATCCTCAGATTTATGTGTTTTAAGGGGTGTGTATCTTTGTTTACAATGAACAGATCTCATCAGCAGAGCTCAGGATTTTGTTCACATAGCAGTGCTTTAACCTGCCTGAAGTAAAGGACAATATGAAAAGCCAGTGCAACTGAAAATGATATTCTGATACACTGCCATAAATTTTACCTTAATCTCTTCAGAGAATCAAACAATAGCAATAGGGCAAACCAGCAAATTTTGTTTTCTAGGCTGTGTGCCACAGGGCAGAGATCCACTGCATGATTATCTGCTCCACTCCTATCTCGCAAAGGAACAGCTGTACATGTTAGCTCAAACTACGTAGGGGAGACAGAGGCTCAAACATGACCTTCAGCACCCACTATTTATTGCACTGCCATTACCTGTATGGACAGTGTCTGTACTGGTTCTTACCTGTTTTGTTCATTCCCTATTTTAAAGGTTTTTACATCTTCCTCTGAGGAAGCACAGTGTTTGACAGCACAAGTAACTAAGGGAAAAGACCAGGAGCACTTCAAATCAATGATGGAGAATGTTGGGCTAACAAAAGCAAACAGAGTTTGCTTCAGGCCAGGCTTCAAAACTGTAGGTAGGTACTTTTATTTATTTTTAGACCATTTTTTTGAGAGAGACAAATTTACTGCAAATCTCAGTGGCTCAAGAAAACTTTGCAGGGAAGGAACTCACCTTCGTCGCTGCCCCTGATAGGCTGGCGTTTCTGTGCTCTGTCATCACTTGTGTTGAACAGCTGTAGAAGAACTTTGTGCTGAAAATGAATCATCAGGATTCACATTAATGCAAAAAGAAACATTATGGGATAGACATGAACTACAATAGATCTCTTATCGACGTCAGGAAAAAGAGTAACAATGCAAAATTTAAAAGCTATTTCTCAATGTGTTGTTTTAATATGCCCATGATTACTGAAGAGAAGATGCTTATGGATTTGCTGTGCTAAAGCTTTTATTTTAGAAAATGGGCAAATAAATTATCTTACCTTCTTTTGTGGTGCTTTAGATTCTTCAGAACTATAAAAAGGTAAAGCATAGAATGTATAATTAAATATTACCTGGAAGATTTTGTGTACAAAATCATCTATCCAACACAGACACTTGTCAAACTACAATATCAACATATTCATGTTTGCATATATGAAAAGACTAGATAATACCATAGTTAATCTATGACCAAGGCAGGAAAAATACTATACAAAGTCCATGTAAGCATGAAATAAGAATCCAGTTTAGTTTCAATGGTGTGTACATAATTTCTTATTCCTTCTGTCAACCTTTTAATGAGAGTTTGGTGTTTGAAAGAATGTTGTGGAAAGAGAGGGCCATAGACATTCATTCAAACAAGTCCGCATGCAAACATTCACTCTTGTATGACTGAGTGCCATTCACAGAATGGATTTTTAATAGAGATAAGCAATAAATTTTTTTCATCTATTTACTGAGAAAAAGGGTGGGGGGAGGAAAGAAGCAAAAACTGTACTTACACTTGCTTTACAATTTTCTCTAGCTCTGGAAGTTGCTCCTTTAGTGCTGCAATCATTCTAGTATCATCTGATACAGATACATAAAATTCCTGTAAATGACACAGAATAGTCTTTAAATAACTATAGGGGTAAATGAGCAGTACTCAGGATAGAGGATTATGAGATGACATCTGATAGCTTAATGATTATAAAGAATGATAATCTGCATAGAGGAACACATGCTGGGCCCAACCCTCTATTACTTCTACTTGTTTATCTCCAGCTGATTTAAAGCAAGAGTTACACATGCAGAAGGGAAGCCTGATGAGGCTCCTTAGCTCACTGTGTAACCACTGACTGCTTGTGCAAAAACTGCATTTTCAGATTATCAAGGATAAAGACTATAAAATTCACAAACAGTCTGGCATGATAGTTTCTTCTTTACCCACTGCTGTTGTAGTCCTCAGTGGTTAATTTGCTACTGAGTTGTTGACTCTCAGCTACTCCAGTCCACTACAATATTACCCTCCTTTAAACCCTACTCAGAACTTTTCCTGCCACGCCTACATAAAACTGACCCAAAGAAGGATCTATGTGCTTGCAACTAGTAATTGTTCTTTAACTTCTGGACTAATGAAAGACATTATGTCTGTCTCCAAAGTTTGTCTATTATGAAAAGCTTTCCCATGTGGGCTTGCTATGTGTCTGTCATACTTAAGGCCCCTCTCTATTCCCCCCTGCTAACTCTTAGATTCAATTTTAAGCTCTTTGGGGCAAGAACTTCCATTCAGCCAGTAACATACAGGGATTGTGTTCCATAAACACAATATATAATAATAATGGCAATCACGATGACTCAACATGACATTGGCAGTGCATCTTATCTTAGAAATACAAGGATATGGCACCTACCAAAAAGACCTTACAACCAATGTCTGAGGAATTAAATTATTTTAAGGGATCAGAAGGGTTCTGAAGACAAAGATCTTAAGTTCCAATAGCTGCAGTACAGCTTTCATTCACATGGAAAGGATTTTTGGTTTTGTAGACTAAGAACCTTCCAGCTCCTTCCTGGCACACCTCAGGCAGGCATAAACAGCCCCCCAGTTCAACCTGTAGAGCCTCTGAACTATTTACAAGAAAATACTAAAAAAAAGCAAATTCATCTATTGCTATAAAGCAATCTACTCATGCAGTGCTTTAAAGGGGTCTGCAACTCAGGCAGATATTTTCAGAGGTCCAGAGGTTGACAATGGTTCAAGCACTGTTGTAGTGCATATACTGTCTGCAGCTAAAACTGAGAAAACAGTTTTGCACTTTGAAATTACCTACTTCTCTTTAGTTCACAACAGAATTCTACAGACCGGGAACAGGCTTTCAGCTTATCTTGCTTGGTAGTTACTTTTCAGTACAATGATACAATGATTCCTTTATACCTCCAAAAAGGCCATTGCTGCTTCATCTTCTTGTAGTAAGTCTCCATATAAAGCAGCCCACTGCAGAACCAGTCGAATGACTCGCCTTTTATTGTTGAGGGCATAATCCATTTTCTCCTGCTCTGTACCCTGGGAAGGCTGGGCATGATAGGTGCCACGGTGTCAAGGAAAACGCTCAGTGATTGAAAATATCAAAACCAGTATGAATTGACAAACAACTGACTTCCAACAAACCATTTTCAGGGTGTTCAAACATAACTTTCCAATATATACTTTTGATTTCTTACTGCTGCTAGCATAAAGACTTGTGAACCTTTCACGTTCATATTAAAAAGTAAAAAGACAGTGAATTCTCTAAAGAGCACAGGAATGATCACAATCCCACCAGAGAGACGGTTGCTGTAGGGGAGCAGAACAGAAATGACACTTGGAACAATAGAGAAGAGGATTAGCTGTGGAGACTGAAGAAGGACATTTTTCCTTGTTCTTCTTTGGACATAGTTGAAGAAAAAGAAAAATCTCACTTTGTGTTTATTAACAATTCCAGCCTTCCATTTGTGAGGAAGACTACTGGAATGAACCACCAGTGTCATTCCTTCTGTTTTTAGAAGTTACTGTAACCCAAGGTGAACCTCAGTCCCATTATGGTAGGGGGACCTGGAAGTTTACAGCCTAGACTGACTATAGAGACATGGGGTAAAATAATAAATTCTGTAGTAGCCTCATTTTACATATGAGGAAATCGGAAGTTTCCACTCTATCAAATAAAGTGTATTTGGGATAGTTATTTTGTGATAAACAATAAGAAAAAATGGGAAACATTTCATTGACCTTTTTCATGATGAAGTATCAACATTACAAAAATATGCAAATAGCAAAAAGGCCAAAAGTAACACTTATTGAAAGGAAGAAACCAAGAAAAATTAAAGGCACAATGGGCAATAAACTGAGAAAATTTCAGCCTTTAACCTATGTGAAAATGAAGAAGAATCCCCAGCAGAAACAGGACATGACAATTTGTGTGCCTACTTCTCACTGATCAGAGGTTGATCATTTGAACTGTTTCCCAATAAACTGATGGCTGAATGTAAAGTAAGCACAGAATGAGTGCAGTTACATCTTCAACTTTTCTTTCCGGATACCAAAATTCTGATTCTGGATTGTCATGAATAATACTATGCCCAATTATATAGCAATGTTTAATATTCAAATACTGAAATTCTTTCACTCACAGCGAAGTCCAGCATTCTTTCAAGGTGCACTTTCAGTTGCTCTAACAAAAGATTTAAAATATTAATTAGAAAATTAAAATATTAATTAGAAATCAAAATTATCTAAGATATGTATTTTAAGCTTCTCATTTAGAAGCATTTCTTTAACAAATACTAGTAAAATATAATGCAAAAAAGTATGTATTAACTCACACTTTCCAAATGATCCTTTTGCCCCCCAAAACCCCTGCAGAGATTTGACATGCTACCAGGGTTACTGGGGCACTCATTTGACTGTCAAACTTTTAGAAATCTGCATCTTAATTTCATTCGGAAAGGTTTAAAATGACTAGAGAACTAAACATGTCAGTACATTTATGGGAGTAAATAAGTCAAAGGGTCATAAGAAGTAAATAATATATTGTAAGTTATGTGCTCTAATGTCTCAGGGAGCAAGTTTAATATTCTACTGAGTTATTTTTCTCAGGCCATTTTTACCTTTCAAACACTGTAATTATTTAATGTATTTTTTGTTTCTTATGAACTGACTCACCACAGGCACTGGTAATTTTTCTGTATTTTTACTGCTCATTTATATTAATTGGTCTTTTATTAACATTATCACAGGGAAAGTCAACGAAGGGTTCTCCCATTTTCACGGGACCTACAGGATGCAACTTCACTGCAGACTGCAATCAGCAGTAAAATATCATGTATACTTGCAACAAGTGTCAGATAATTATAAAATATTTATCAACACCAACATGGTTAGAGTCCAATATATAGATTGAACTCTATTCCTAGCATATGCTAGGAAATGGAAGCGATTCTGAAGTCTGTTCTTCCCTGCATGGGAACACTTGAACATATCAGGAGCTGTACAAAATCAGCACTCATTACTACAGTAGAATGCAAACTGTTTTGCTGGCATGATGGTAAAGGAGGTTCACAAAACATTCATACAGAAACATGCTAAAGGACTGTCATCTACAGAGAGCAAAAGAGGAGTTTATACTTCATAAGTATTTAGACAGTGGTCTTTTAAAGATGCACACCTGCACACATGCTCACACACTTGCACTATCACAAGTGCACTTTTGGAGGTGCCACTCTACTTCAAGTTTTCTTTTAGGCTTTGTCCTGCCTCCCTCTGACAAGCTGTAGCTCTGAGAATTTGTCCATTTCCATCTCTGTGAGGAAGAGAGGGAAACAGGGGCCTTGGTCCAACACACAGGACTGATGTCCTGATCCAGGACAGGGGAGCATGCCCTTTGCTTCCCTATAAAAAAGAAGTATGTGATTTTTTTTTAATATTGCAGGATCCATATACTTTAATGACTAAAAAAGAGTGGTGCGCCAAGAGACAGCACAGTATAAGCACTGAATCCGCAGCAAGTAATAATGTTACTTAGCCAAAATGGTGCACCCGTCCATCCCTTTCAGGATTAAAGAACTTACAGATGACAAAACGCTGCTGTAAAAGAAGTGAAAACCCAAATAATTTATACCCTGTACTACGCTTGAAAGCACTACAGTGGTCTAGCTCTACTCATACTTGCATGCTGCCAGCTAAAATAGTATCCTAAGTGGGTGTAGGAAAATAGACTTGTATTGATTCAAAATTGGAGCTGGAGCAAAAACAGTGTCTCTGACTGAATCACCTTTCTTCTTTTTCTTTTTCTGTTTTAATTTCCTCACTGAGCATAACTAATCTCTCCTTAGTGTCACAGCACCGGCAAACATTTTTGTAGAGTGATTTTGCTCAAAAAAGATGAGCTTTGTTAGCAACCTTTCAACTCTAACAATAAATTTCAATGGTACAATCAACAGAGCACAGTTTGATTTTCCATATTCAGAATGGACCAAATAAACAATAATTCAGCTCTAGGAAAAGCTGACACTAAAGCAGTGGGATACCAGTTACTTCCAGCCTTCCTCCTCCTCTCTGAAAAGAATTAGCATGATGACTGCCATGACCCACTTAAGACCATGGCCTTAGCCTCCTCCTCAGAATAGATTTCATCACAAGTGAATATGTATACATAAGTGACACTATCACTTTGATCTTCAGAAAAGCTTTTCCCCTATAAACAATGAGGTACATTTTGCTTATGCCTCTGATTTTCGCAGTTATTGGATATCAGAGATATACTATTATAACTGAGGATAGACAAGCCTGAGTCTCAAATGGACTGATTGAATAATACAAGCTAGATAAATCAGAAAAAAAAACCATTAAAAGTGCTGCCCTTTTCTTCCCCTCTCAAAGCTGTCAGCAACAGCATGTCATAATACTTTTGATATCCAAAACTATGTGGTTTTGGAAAATATGTTTGCTTCAGGTGTACGAACAATTTTCTGCAGACCAGTTTTATGGGTCCAAAGGTTTTCAAAACAATTACTGTCCTTGCTAGGAGTAACACAAATGGATTCTCAAGCTTGCCAAACAAGGACACGATGCTCTATTTTGTGGTTTCAGGGTGTTAGCTTTCCCAGATGTCACTCGCCCCGCTGAGCTTCAAGGAAAGCACACTTTCACACCAATCTGATTCTAAAAAAAATAAATAGGGAATTGAAGTTATTATACCCCTGTCAGAATTCTATAAAACAGAAAACATTATATGTTTATTTAATGCTCCCAGTCACTTGATAGCTTCAAGTCACTGTGCACAAGGAAAACTCTCAGTGCCCAACAGCTCCCAAACTAAATGATCTGCCAGTAACTGACTGATGGACATTTCAGACTCCTTCTGTAAAACATGGAGACAGTACAAGAATCACCTCCAGCTCTCAATGCTATCCACTGTAAGCTTTCATCTCCTAGGTATTCGCATGCAATTGAAATTTCTTGCAGTTTGTTAACATTTGCTATAGACTATTATTATAGATTATTACTATTTTTATTCATAACTATTATGACAGCATCGAGGAACTACTTACTTACTCATTATTCTATTAGTTTAGGCACCCTTTTGCTTAAGGCAGTTTGCAGCTTGTAATCTATAAAGTGGACCATTGAAATCACCAAAACTTAATTATCTTAGTTAAAATCTAGATGCTGTAGTTCAGCAAAAAACAAGAAAGACAGAAAGGATACAGGAAGGGTAATCAAAACTTTTATGTAATGTCACTTATCTGGTGGAGGGACAGTACATTTCTTTCCCTTGGAAGAGTAATCAGCACAGGAAAGATGCAGTTTTCATGCTCTGGGACTGTATCTCATCATGGGTATACACTATCCATTTCAGAGTTGTTGAGCTATGGACAGCTTTTGGTCAGACACTGAGAACCTACCCACAAGGCACAGCCTCCATGAAACGTGATATACTTCTTGAGAGAGAGAAGTTTCAGTCTCATCACCGACAGGGATAGCTGTTAAAGGGATGTTAACTTTTCTTCCTTACAAAAGGATATTGTGCCATCAAGGCTGGGCAGAGCTGACTATTTGGCATAAAAACACAGTGCATCATAATAAAATCATTTAAAACAGAATCTGTGAAAAGAGAAGAAAGAAAACAGTCAATTAAGCCCCTGCAAACAGCTTGGGGATCACAAGGAAGAGTTTTCTTTCAGCTAAAATATATTATTAGCCCTCTGCAGATAATAAAGGGGTCTTTTTGCACTTTGTTTGTAGGCATTAAGTATGAAAATAGGGAATGAACAAATATGAGCTGAAATATTAAGCTTTTATTCTTGTCTGCATGAATTTTATTCCACTTATGTTAACAGGCATTTGCCTGTGTCAAAGGGAAATTTGGCACACCAAAAAAAACCCCATCTGTGCTAAAGTGAAATATTTGGATATACTTCTCTACAAGTGTAGAGATCTTAGCATGAGAAGAATCAGGTCTGCCACACTGAGTACCTAAGAAGTGCTGCTGCATTTGGCTTTAGGGAACTACAATACCAGACAGCACATTTAGTATAAACTACACAGGAGAAGGCAAATAATTTAATTCTTTGCTGATTTCCTAACAATGAGCAGAAGACCTAAAATAGGTAAATGGACAGTCAAATTTCTGGTTTTATTTTGATTCAAAAGTATCACAGCTGCTACATTTACATTAAAAGGCATATGAACAATATGGTTGACATTTTCTCTGGCAAAAAATAGCAAGCTATTTTTTCTGTTAAAATGACCTGTGGTAGTGCTGGTGTAAATCCCAGCTTGCCTTATCTTTGTATTTGTGACAACAAGAAGGATTTATAAAGCCTGGCTGCAGAGGCCAGAATAAGTTTGGCAGTGAGAATAAACTTTATTTTACTTTTAAACTATGCAAGTGTTACATGGAATCACTGAGAAACAATAAACACAATACCCTGGGGTATCACTTCTACAGTGCAACTTTTGAGATAAGAGAAACATTTAAAAACCCTGTAAGTAAGGGATGTCAGAAAAAATATGGTGAGATAACTGTGTAATGTACTATTACATCATTGCTTCCACTGTAATTCATATAGGAAAATATCTCTCAGTTGACAAAATTCACCTCTGGAAGGGTGGGACTTTTTCTTTGCGTAATATCCAGAGCCAAGTGGATTTTAACTGTTCTTAAATAAAAGGAATGCATACGCTAAAAATTCGATTTTCCAGCACACTCAGCTTCTATATCCTAAAAATAGCTTTGTTTGTGAATTGTGACATTTTGTATCCCGTTAGGATATAGGTATAATCTTGTCTTTGGATGTTTTGGGGAAAAGTTTTAAAAGATTTAAAAAATAATTCATTTTAGAAAAATGTATAATACATGCATACTATGAATAGTAAACTGGTGATTATATACTTGCAGGCTTAAAGAACAACATTCTGCTTGTAATGTTAATAAACAGGTATCTATGAAAAGGATCCTTTTTATTCTTAAAAGTGGTTAAAACACACACGGTAAAAGGATTTCTGTTATCTTTCAATTCTTCCACTATTTATGGACCTCTATACAGGTTTCTCCAATACTATGAGGTCAGTAACAGATTAACTGGATTTAAGACCGCCTTTGAATATATACTTCTTAGACATCTGCAATGTAAAAAGAACTTGCTAAAGCAATATTATGTAGCTTAATACAAAAGTCTCTGCATTACTTTATCATAATTAGGAGGAATTTTTTGTGCCTGACTCTTTTTAAAAATTAAAATACTCACTAATAGTGAGTCAGCAAATATCTATATCCCTAGATGTAAATTCTCTGTTCTCTTTACACTAATGAAAGGCAGCCTATTAAGTGCAGCTGCAGCAACCTGCATTCTCAGGACTTGGCCCATGGTATGCCAAGTTCTTCTCTTTTGAGGAACAATTCTTCTTTCCCTACACATGGGAAAGTACCACAAACAAGTAATTTAAATTGTGATACTTTAAATGTGATATGGGTATGAAAATCTGGGAATACTTATATTAGCATAACGCAATGGCTGGAGGTATCAAGCTAGTTCACAGTATTAAGTGACATCCAGAACAAGAAGTATGAGTACCATTATCATTGGGTGATAATGCATGCTCTGTCCTGGCCTTATAGTTGTGCCTAATTAAAGTCATGATGAGTGGTCTGGCACCTTTTGAGTTTTTGCTGTTCTACTCTGAACCAAAATTACAAATACAATAGAGTGGGCTAGGAGGAGTGGATTGTAATCTTTAATTCTGGATTTCCTAGGTTTTCTTGGGGTTGTTTCAGAGCAGTGGATAGTTCTTATTCTGGGAAAAACTACCACTAGCTACTTTTCAAAGCATCACATTGCGGTGTTCCCCCAGCAAGACCATCTTATGCAGCAATAATAACACAGCCTTTGTCATGTAGATACCTGTTGCTTCATTTAAAGTTGCTTCAGGGCGCATAGTTTCTAGAAAGTGCTCTAAAATTTTCTCTGGGGTTCCTGACATCACAATATACCTGAGGGAGGGAAAGGAGCAGTTAGTGTCGCATAGGCAAAACAGCTAATCAAGAAACAGTTGTGTACCAGTGAGAAGAGCAGGACCGATGAGTACCAGAGTACAAATACCTGCTCTGACCAGAATCTCTGCGTGGCTTAGGACAAAACCACTCACAATCTTTGTTGGCTTCCCCCCTGTAAAATGGGAGCAATAACTCTCTCCACCCTACCCAGGGAGTGTGAGATGACAGGCAGCCCCCTCCCCACACAAGTACTCCAGTGTAACACCACCACAGTTACACCGCAATCAGCAGAGCTGCACTGGTACAAACCTGGGGAAGTGCAATCAGAAATGCTTCTCCACTGAGAATAAATATCTCAGTAACGATAGCAATTTGCAGTCATTAGGGGGTCTTAACAGACTTACTATGAGCATGAAATGAGAACTGGTGTGTATTGGTGTCAGAGCAAGGAAACAAATTTCCCTTCAGCGTCACTGACAGGGGTTGGTCTGAGAAGAAGGCGGCAGATAATGAAATAGCACACTGTATCTTCAAATTTGTGCAATGCCTTAGATAGCTGAAGTAAGTAAGTTTTTCAAGTGGATAAACTTAGGATTGTACCGTTTCCTGGAGTAAATTTAAGGAAGTAAGAGAACTAGTGCAATAGTCAGGTTTTTCTGCTTCATGCAAAAACACTGGCAAGATTTTAAGTACCAGCAGAATATCATAGGACATTGCTAAACTTGTCCTGTCATCTTTTTTTTCTTTCTTTGCAGATCAGATTTTTCTATCTTTCCCTCCATTCTTTCAATCTTTGCATCTTTTTTTCCTTTTTTAAGTATGAAACGTAAAAAAAAAAAAAAAAAAAGGAAAGAAAAAACCCTGAGAAGTGAAGATACTCTGCTCCTGCTGAGAAATAAGTGGTGGAGCTGAGCTCCTGGGAGCTCCTCCTCACTTTGAGCGCTGACCGTCACAGTTCTTTTACCTGCCAACCCCTTTGGAAGAACTGTATTGATGTCCCAAGAACACAAACACTTGTTAAGCCAGTGCACATTCTTGCAGAGATACTAACCAAGTATCTAAGTGAGTGAAGCAGAGAAATCACAGGTTGCTGTACTCTGAATATGAAAGTGAAAATGAACAGTGAAGTGACTTGCAGGGCTGCTGAATTCATCCTGCATGAGTGTGATCACCCATAAAGAGTTAGATCTTGGGAGTGAGAACTTCAGAGCTAGTCCTTCGCAGCGAAACTGTCACTGTTCGGAAGCATGGCTCGGGGAGCTATGTAGGAGCTATGCCTCCTCAGTAGAGGAGGCAGTAGAATCCAAACTGCAACTGAGAGGATCTGCTCCCAAAATGAAATTTTCCCCAAGACTAAGATGAAGAAAATGAGTTTCTTGGTTGACTGGATATCTCAGGGAACAACTTTGGGATGCAGAACACTTCTCTAGTGCAAATGCTATGTACCTGCTTAGGGAGCAAAGCCCAAAGGGCAGCTCATCTGAAGACATATCAGAGATGTAAGCTACCCAATTAAGGGCAAAGCAGCAAGCCTTTAAGAAGAGGTCCCTGTTAAGCTTCTCTTTTGGGCACAGTGATTTTCAAAAGTACTGAACACTCAGCTAACACATTCTAGTAACACATTCTGGAAATCAGAATACATCAGTAACTTTTATTTGGACTCTCAAGCATAAATGTAGCCACTTACTCTATTTACTAACAAAAGAAACAAAAGAAATGTCATCTTCAAAACCAGTGAACTCACTTTGAAAGATTTTAAACAAAAAGACACTGCCAACGCACTATTAACAAAGTAATCTGACTGCTGAAAAGCAGACAGTTAACTTTCAAGGTAGCTTCCTCTTTTGTGTAGTTTATGTCTATTTGTCATTGTTATCAGCAAAAGCTCCCTTGCTGGCACATTGATAGTACCCAAAAGCTAACCAAATGCATAGAATATTTACAGAAATTAAATTCTGAGCTTTACCTGAAAACATTCCTGGAATGTAAGCTCTAAAATACAGCCTAACTTAACCAGGGACCATAAATGTTTCTAGCTATTTTTATCAAATTCTGAACATGTTAAATAATACAAATAATGCTGGTGCAAAGAGTTGGCAAGGAAGATAGTGTTTGAAATATGTTTAAATGAAACTTTCATTCTTGAAAGCATGAAAAATATATCAGATCCAAGAAAATGGATTTAAATCTATGACCAAGTTGCTGTGCACTGCAGCTGCTGATGCAAATCCACTGGCTGCAGTCAAGTTCCCCTCATTTAGACAAAGAAAAATTTGTTACAACAGTACATGTTTTCCTGGTAGCATAGTTTGTTTTTCTAATAGATCAAGTGAAAGATGAAATGGCAGTTTCTGAAATATGTGAAATGTGTATATAAAATACAAGGAATGGTTTATTCAACCCTTCACAGTTCTTTACAAATCTTTATACTCAGTTATGCAGATAAAATAGGTATATGAAATCCCAGATCAGATAAAAACCGTACCCAAAATATCTCACAGTAAATTAGCTCTTTCTTTGAGAAAAAGTAAGGTCCAGGGTAAAGGATTCAAAACTTCTTGGTGCTTATTTTGTTGGAGTTGTTCGAGCGTTTCTGAAGAAAATTGTGCATCCATTTGCAAATAACGCATTTACAAAGCCTTTAGGGGTTTTACCAACATTTGCAATGATAATAGCCTCACTCTACTCTTATCACAGTAGTGTCCAAACAGAATTGTACTTTTTCCCTTTCAGTAAAGAAAATACAATGAATATTGTTATTACAGTGCAAACCTATTCTGTAAGATAAGCTGTGCGACTTTCATTGCATGAGATCTTTGTTTTGTATATAAATTGTACCTAGCAAACTCTTACTAGAATCCAGAGATCAAAATCCAAAATGAAAATATCTGTACTTAACAATAAAACAGTGTATTTTCCTCATGTCTTTTACACAGTAGCTCAGCTTAATAGGGTTTCAGCATTCTCCATGTGCAGTCTATTTAGAAGCTATTACATGAGATAAGTATTTACAGTGAGATCTTTAGAGAATTATTGTGTAAAGACATAGAACTGGTGTGCTGCTGGAAATGGATATATATCCAGTATGGGGCATGTGATCAGCTGATGATTAAAAAAAAGAAAACTTTATGTGCACTGCATTCTTCCATAGAAAGGGGGAATATGCTATTGTTAGGATAATACCCTATGAAAAGGTTAATCATTGTCTGACATTTGCACTATTGAATGAAAACATACTTGTGCTGAGGCTGTGAATTTCCTTGATTAGAAACTCTGTTTCCTGCTGGGACCTTCTCCAACACCAAGACATCTTGGTCGTGTTCTTTGAGTCTTACTGTATTTGCTTCCACATCCTGCAAGACAAGTTACTTTTAATAAAGTAACTGCACCCGATTTGGCTGATTAGTTTACTCTGAAAAAGTGCATGACTTTCAAACACAAAAGACACTGGGGTTGGTTCTTTTCCCCTGTACTTATCTATCTTTATCCTGTTTTTCTCACAGGCAGAATCAAGAGGGAAGCACTGGCACTGGGGGAAGAGGCAGAGAATTGTGGGAGGGACTAGAGCAAGAATGATGTAAAAAATCTCTGGCTATGGCAAAGGAAAAAAAGTTAGCCAAAAAACAGAGTCCCCCCCCCAACTTTCCATATGGAGTGTAATCTCTATCCCCACTTATATATGAACATTATTATGTATAATCTGACTTTTGTCTTTTTAAAAATAAAAGAACAAGGCACTTAAAAATGGTCTTAGCTCAGTAAACTGCCAGTAAACTTTTCATTTTCTACTACCAGATCACAGTAGAAAAAGAAAAAAAGAAGAATTAAATATAATGTACATTCAAATAACACAGATGAAAATCAGTAAGACCACGGACTTTGATCTTCTTTGAAGTACCGACCAAAGCTAAATCAGCTGTGAGTCTCCATGGCCAACCCACCCCCCCTGCCAATGGGATCCTCATTCCCTTTTGTATAGTAAACACAATCTTATGTCATTTTTCTAGCACAGTACTCTGTCTGGAATGGTTTTATTGCTGCAATACTGGGCATGTATGTATACATTCAAATACAGGATGATACTGGTTTTGACTTCCTATACTACGAGTGATCGCAAAACAGCCTGTATTTACAGAATTACAGCTGGACTTTGGAACACATTTGCCCTAATGTGAATAACTGTAAAATTAGTCTGGGAATATCTTTCTAGAGCTCTCTGATAAAGACATCGGTGTATTTACCTGTAGCTTATTTAATTTGCCAATTGATTCTGTCTTGAATCTATTGAGTTTAAGGTACCTGACACTGACCTATCTGGGAGAATGGGTGAAACGGGTGATCTTGTTTTATTCAATAGTTGGATGGAAGATCACCCAGAAATCCTGGACAGCATAAGGAAAAACTGAGCACTTGGCAAATTCTAGACCACAGAAATGTGAGAGACAAAAGATTCCATTTGGTCCCATTTTCATGGCTGAGCTAGGAACAGAAAAAGAGGAAAGATGATTAACATATTCTTTACTTGATCTTCTAGACTGTCACATCTCTGTTCTGCAATTAGGGACACTTCAAACAAGGTTATCAATATCAATATATGTCCATAGAAATAAGACAGACTCTAGAAAAATTTGCAATTTCTGATACCACGCTGTCGGGGCGGCCCTTCCCACTCTTACCCTAAGGATCCTGTTGAAGTCCTCCTTGTCTACTCTCAAGAAGTGGCAGTTGTCTTCACGCAGAACAATGGATGCTGCTCTGGGAGCATCATTCACAAGCGCTAACTTGCCAAAATCATCTCCTTCATGTAGAGTACATACCACACCCTGCACAGAGCAAAACATTTACATGCAGAAACCCATCATTACTCTGGATTCTATTGAAAGTCCTTGTACAAACACCGGACTTCACAATCAAATACCAAAACAAATCTATTTGGCAGGAAATCAACAGCCAAAATAATGACTAGGAAACAATACTCGCTAGCTGGTTATTACTATTACTAAAGAAAGGCAAGAATAGAAAAGAATTGGCTTGTTCTCTGAAATTACATTCAGCTTGAAGGACTCTTCCAGCCCTGCTGAAGACAGAAAGTTGTTGAGTTGTTTGTTTTTTATTTATAGAGGCCCTAAAAAATAAGATCAAGTTTGCAGAAATAACATATAACACCACATCCTCAGCTGGTGTAAATCAGCAGTGTTCTGTTTACTCCAATTTATAGTAACAGAGGATCTGGCCCATCCAGTGATGTAAAAAATGTAGCTAAATATGGGTAACTTAGGAACAGACTTAGCACCAGGGCCTCTATGCTAGATTTTGGTGAAATGCTTGGTGTTCAGAATGGAGGATTCTCAGTCACTGAATGAGAAATGAATAGGGAAGTAGGGATTTTTAAAGACTCAAGGGATTGCTGTGTACCAAAGTCCTATTTTTTGCCTTTAAAAATCTCTCTCATAAACAGGAAATTTAATAGAGATCGTTTTCAGCTTAACTAAAATGAAGAGCTGGCATAAATTTGGGAGGGGTTCATCCAACCTGAGAACCACTAGTCACAAAGCAGTACTTCTGTCAGACATGCCTGACATGTGTGACAAAAGTTAGTCATACAAATGCAAGAGAATATGGTGGTAAAGGGACAGGGCAAAAACCCCCATGAGACAGAAGTCTGGCAATTCACCAAATTCCAGCAAATGACTGTCCTAAAGATACTGATGTAACTCTGCTGAATTATATTCAGAAAGTGTGTAATATATCCCGAAATTATACAGCAATCAACTGGAAGTATAATCAGTGAAACCACTGGATCATTTCTTAATAAAATCACATTCAATTTGTTTCTTCAGACAAAGCAATTTCGCTCTAAATTAAACTGTATTCCTTCAAAGTTTACTCTTACAATTTCAATAATAAGAATCATATAAAAAGGCTTCTGAAAAAAATACCTTGCCATAAATGACTACGTTTACTGATCCCTTTAGGATAATGTACCAAGAAGTACCTTCTTCTCCCTGATTAAATACTACAAGAGAGAGAAAAGATTTTATGGTGAGAATATAGTTATTCAAAATATGAATGGGCCAGATTCTGCACTCAATAAAATTCAAGGTAACTCTACTGCAGTCATATTAATGTCCTTGAAAAAGGGCATACTATGATTTTAAAAGCAATTGCCTTCAGATTTTAGAAAAAAAAAACCCACACCCATATAGTAGTTACTTTATTACACTGATGTGAAAGGTACTTTTATTTTCCATGACAATTGCAACCACCACTTTATCAATACATGTCAGGTTATCAATTACTAATCAGCACACAGATTTTGATCCCACCAGTAGCACCATGTTCTAACCCAATTCTCTAGTGGCTGTGTGTGAATTTGACACTCATTTGCTAAAACTTCTCAGTATAAACAGGTCTGAGTAATCTAACACTTTAAATCCTTTTTTTTGTGCAGCAAGATTTTTTTTAATACAAGGATAAAATTAAAATACATTTTAAATAGAGATTGGTCCAACCCAAAATTTTAGATAAAAACACACCCAAATTGTAGGTGATACAGACATCCAACCAAGGATATAGAATTAATTTTGGTACTGTCCCTGTAATTGGGAACAGACTAAGCCAACACCTATTACCCTAGGTTTTAAACACTGAGTGCCAGTCAAGTTTGAAGAGTGCGTCCAGGTTTTGCTCTTGTCATTTAAACATTAAGAATTTAAACATTCATGCTACAGATGAGAAAGAAGATCTGACAGGAATCCATTTACTTACAGACCGTTCCTGCTTTGGGATGTGACTCAAAAATGAGGACACCTGCTAATTCTCGCTTTACCTTAAAATAAAGAGAGAGAAATTATAGTTTTTATATGTATCTCATTCTTCCTGGTGAGAGGAAGTCACATAACACACCCCAGTCGCTGCCTTCCTTCCCTCTGCATCGTTCAGCACTCATTCAGAGTCACACAGCCAGACAATGGTCTGCTTCACTTGATGTCCTATTTCCTACTGATTGGCTTTACAGAACATGAGCCTCTACATTTCCTGGCTCCAAATGGCTCAGACAAGGGCATCTTTAAGACACAGGTCTCCACATCTTTTTCATATGCACACGCGTGAAACCATCATTAACAATTAACGTTAACATGATGGAAAATTTCAAACTGTAATAGCTAACCTATTACAGAAGATAGCTAGCAATTGCCAATTACTCTGTGGGGCTCTGCGGTACTCCTGTTCTTCCCTGTGAAATCCCTGATGTAAGTCTGGCCACTTCTGCTGCGTCGAGCTGTGAGGCACAGCCACCTGGACCTGCTGAGGCCCCTCTCCGCCTGACAGCTTTCCAGGCAAAATGTCCAGCCCACTACCTCTTCCAGGCACTGGAGAACGTGACACTGCCCTTGGTGTCAGCCTGCTCCTCGTTGGGTTTGTATTGCTCTGGTGTGATTAGCTCTTACGACTGACTGGGCAGTTGCCTCTAGTGAGACACTGTTAACAACCACTTTTTTTCACTGTAAACACTGTTAATGTTACTTTCACAAAATAGTAGCAGCACTGGGAACCTCATATTATCCTGAGTTTTCCTATGTGCTTTATGTCTCTCTTCATACAACCGCAAGTCTCCAAGGACTTTGAGGCCAATTTCCTAGCAGTGGGATTCTTGTTTTCAGAGAATGTCAGCTGGTGACAATCCATGTTTCAGAGGTACTACCGTGTAACTTAACTGTGCCAAATATAGATCAAAAGCTGGCTCCAACACATATTTAGTAGTAGTATTTTCACACCATTCTCCCAACTGTTTAAACTGAAAAAATTTTTGGGCCATGAAGAAAAACTTGGGGAGGAACTATTAAATTCTGGACACAATCCAGATGAGAGTCTGGTGGCTGCATCTCCTAAGATGGGTGGACAAATTCAGGCTCTGATGTCCTAAAGGCACCCACCAAACCTTTGCTCAAGCACCAAGCATAAACGTACCACACCAGCCACCTCTCCCAAAACTCTTTCCTGACAGCCAGTGCAAAGCACTCCTGTTTGCAGTCTGGAGAAGAAGAGGGATAAATAGAGGTGTTTGGACAGGTTTTTTTAGTACACTGACCAGTGAATGCACCCACAGGCCTGTGATTTCTATAACAATTAGCCCACCAAACTCTTTTATAACTTCTGCCTGAAGGCAATGATGCTTTCATACGGACAGGAAATAAAACCCCATTAGCACTGTTCTGCACATTGTAGAGAGCATTCCTATCCATGTACATCTTCAGATGCCTTCTCAGTTGCTTCAGACATTTGCCTCTGCAGTGAATGAATCCTCTTGATGAAGCCAAGAATTTGATTTGTTTTTAACACTGTGTTATATAATTGTTTTTCATTCATACATTAACTTCACAGGCTTCTCTAGCAGGGATTAGTTCACCGCCATGCGACATGAGTTTTATCCATTTTACTTCCTGCTGCTCGTGGCATATCTAGAAAACGTATGACTTTAAGAATTATGCCTTGCTTAAAACACATAAACATTCCATTTGCTTTCAAGTCGATTGACCAGTAATCTTCTGGTTCATAGGAGCAATGCTGTCTGTTGCTCCTCTGAAGATTTTCTCTAAGCTAGTCATGGTTTCTGTCCTCTGCTTTAGTTCATGCTGCATGTAATGCTGACATTTCCAAATTCTTACTAAAAACATGGAAACAACTGCACTTCTTCAAAATGCCAAGTTTTCTTGCAGTTTGTATCATTTGCCATACTTGTTCTATATGCTACTCGCTGTGGATTCGGACCTCAAGTCTGAATTTCTTCTGAGCTGGAAATACTTTGTGTTTCGGATTTTTTTGTTCTGGTTTATGTCAGTAGTATCAAGAGTGTTCTCCACTCCCTCTCAGTATCTGTCTATCTTGGGTAGTTTCTTTTGTTTGATATGAAAAGGGTCATTTCTGGATCTTACAGAAGTCTGTCTTTAAATACTTTTTTCCTACATCCCAGAGATGTTTAAGGATTTTGGCTGGCTGCTCCTTCTTAGTTCAGTTACCAACTCTGGATGCATATTCTTTTTGAAAAACATTGCTCAGGTGTTACATGTTTGCACGGAGTGCTATCTTTCTGTAATGCAGTTTCATAATTAGCTGCATCTGTCCAAGTTAACTGAGAATTACTGAAAATATCAAGAGCTTCCAAAGAAGCTATTGTCAAAAATAAATCTACTTTCTGACTGCCTTCCTTTTTCTGAAAGCACCCACATCTTGCTGCTACCAAGTAAAGTGCTATTTAGCTTGTTTCAGTTGCCTACGCAGTGTGTCAACAATGGTGAGACTTTAAACAGTTGCATTGTCTCCTCCAGGCATTTTCTCCATTTCATTTATTCTTGGTTCTCTGCACTGTTCTTGCCCACTCAGAGAGAAGGTGTCTGATGAGGTTTCCTTCACTCAGTGACCAAATTCCAAGCAGCCAGCACTGCACAGTACACCTTTCTGCACTGTGTAATTCCTCCTCTTAACTGGTTCAAGCCAAGACTTCTTATAGTTCAGAAATCAGACATCTATTCTGCAAAATTCAGTAGCACCACAGTCCCAGGTGTCAGGTCAGATTGCATGCATCTTAATTTAGACTCAGATGTGGACCCAGACGGAGGCACCCGTGCCAAGTGAGTGAGGTAGGGGTTGTGCAGAAACACATGAAGAGAATTATATCTGATATCCAAAAGACAACCTACATCTGCACAGTGCTTGGGTGGTCCTCACAGGTGGGAATAACTTGTTTGCATAGAACATATAAATGGAAAGGGCTGTAGGCGCTCCAATTCTAATAAAGCACCAGAAGTCAAAATTCAACCTCCCTTTTGGTGATGAGTTATATTTTTAAAAATACTTACTGTAGTAGAAAGATGAGATAAGGCCTTAATGTGAAGAAGTTCTTCATATATAATTTCTAAGTCATCTACAGTTCTCTGGCCAGGCCTATAGGGAGAAGATAAAAAGGACAGCAAAATGCAATAAATGCCCAAAATAAATGCTTCAGAGAAGTACAAAACAACACAAAATGCTGTTGTACTGTCTACTGGAGGGTACGTCCTCACTAAACAGGGACTGAACGATGGTTCTGGTTGGAGGACTGAAACACACAAAGGATGGAAGCACTATGAAACCACCTGAATGACACTGAGCAGCAGCCATAGCAACCACCTTAGAGAGATCCTGATTAGGCAGCTTTCCTGATGAAACCAAGTGTTCTATAAGTAAAATGGTCAGATAAATCAGAAATGGTACATAAAGATCTGTTCCTTTCAAAAGGACTCCCAAGCGTGGGACCTGCACTATATTTCACATGCGGCACTAATTAGTTGTAGCAAACAGACAGTAGTAGTGGTTTGTAAAGGAGCGCGTGAATTTCTGCTGAACAAATTGGAAGAGGCAGCAGTGCATCTTAGAGGACAGTAAATGACTGCTACAGAGTTAATGCTGCATACTGTTGTTTAGCCACAAAGGTAAATAAGAACCACTCAGTAGTTTCACTGAGTGAAACTCAACTTCTCTCACTGAAAAATACAAGAAGCTGTCATTAATAAAAAGCATGCATTGATGAAGGAATAATCCTCCTATAGCATAACGAGGAATGAGGCTGCCACTGTGACTGAAATAATTGCATTTCTGTAGTCTACACACTGGAAAATTTTCTGATTGCTAAAAAAGGACACAAATGCTCTTAGGACTGCAGTGTGTCAGAGATGCTTTGGAGGATCTAATAAACAGTACCATGAGAAGGAGTTGTAGGAGCTTGTGAGTAACTCCTAATCTTTTTCCCACTCACAAGATTCTCTTCAGTTTAAGCGTCTAATACAACTTTATTTTCTAAATGGACAAATTCTCCTGTGATATAATTTCAGACAGTACATTGGAGTTACATACACACAGAGAGAAAAAATCCTTTAAAGCATTATCTCAAGTTACTTTTATAGAATGAAGTACTTTCAAACAACGTGTTTTAGATTTGTGAAAAGCAGAATATAAGTAAGTAAATTAATGGGCCAAGAAAGAAGAAAAGAGCAACCTAGTCATAAGAAGGAAGAGAGAGGATAAATTTAAGATGTGAGGAAATGGGATACAGGAAGTCCAGTCCAGGGGCAGGAGTTTCAAATGAGAAGGTTTACATGCTCGTATTAAGAACAGGCTAGTGAGCAGTTCCAAACCCCACTGTCTGCAATGTCTGGTGTCAAAAGAATTAACAGCACAGTTGAATCTTTGTACAGCCCTAAAAGAAATCATAGAATCATAGAATCATAGAATCATTGAGGTTGGAAAAGACCTCTAAGATCATCGAGTCCAACCGTCAACCCAACACCACCATGCCCACTAAACCATGTCCCTAAGTGCCTCATCTACACGTCTTTTAAATACCTCCAGGGATGGGGACTCAACCACTTCCCTGGGCAGCCTGGTCCAATGTTTAACCACTCTTTCAGTAAAGAAATTTTTCCTTACATCCAATCTAAACCTCCCCTGGCACAACTTGAGGCCATTTCCTCTCATCCTATCACTAGTTACTTGGGAGAAGACACCAACACCCACCTCACTACAACCTCCTTTCAGGGAGTTGTAGAGAGCGATGAGGTCTCCCCTCAGCCTCCTTTTCTCCAGGCTAAACAACCCCAGTTCCCTCAGCCGCTCCTCATAAGACTTGTTCTCCAGACCCCTCACCAGCCTCGTTGCCCTTCTCTGGACACGCTCCAGCACCTCGACGTCCTTCTTGTAGTGAGGGGCCCAAAACTGAACACAGTATTCGAGGTGCGGCCTCACCAGGGCCGAGTACAGGGGCACGATCACTTCCCTACTCCTGCTGGCCACACTATTTCTGATAGAGGCCAGGATGCCATTGGCCTTCTTGGCCGCCTGGGCACACTGCCGGCTCATGTTCAGCCGGCTGTCGACCAACACCCCCAGGTCCTTCTCTGCTGGGCAGCTTTCCAGCCACTAAATGTCACAATGAACCTTTCTGATAGAAGTTTTCCTCCTAAAATGTCAATATTACAGGAGATTCTAGCACCTAGAGGATCAGGAAAGTCATATAAAGAAATACAGTGCTCTACAGGTGTTCTGCCTAATCACCTCGTGGTTCAACAGTCTGTCTAAATCATATGTGAGGTAGAGGAAGTACCCATCAATTGTGTCACTCTGGAGTTATACTGCATCTTTTTGCAAAAGAAGTTTGACGGAGACTTCTTTTGGATGAAGGAAGTACTGAAGAAGTCATAGAAAACATAAGGACAACTGACATCTCTGCTAAGCAAGCTATATTTTTCATCTGTTCTTCACTTACCAATGACATGCATTTATTATTACCCAGATTAAAGACCAATTTAGACAAAAAACGTTTTGGATGAAACTATTCTTTTCTCATACAGAACGGAATAAACTGTTAAGGGAGAAAGAGAAACTGGTTTGATACTGCTATGCCCTCTAGTGACTCAAACTACTCTTTACTATTTCTAAATCTGGCTTGACATTATAAGGCTGCCACTCCTACTGATTTATGTGGGGCAGTAGCAGCTTAATTAAGTACAGAATAAAGCTAAACCTGTACTAGCTACCTTTCACTGGAGATTTAAGAAATACAAGGTAAGGATTTTAACAAATAATACTTCCTATAGGAAGTAACAACTTTAATTTTATGACATGCTTGCAAAACCAGCATGTCTTGGAAAAGGGAAAACATAGTGTAACAAATGAACAAATTTCTACATGAACTTAAAATATAAAAGGATGATGTCTTACTCCATCAGACCTCTATCAAGACAAAAGTGTACACTCTTCTTTCAGTATGTCCATTTGCCTCCTGTGTTAGCACATTGGGAGGACTGACAATCTATAGTGGATGTATCCAGTCTACTTCTGCTTCTGCAGATGTCACATGGAGAGATATTAGGCATCACTGCTTCTGAAAAACCTGTGTGGTGACCCACTGATGTCGATTTGTAGGATCCTGCTGTGTAAAGACCTAGTTTCTGCAGGGGACACATTCTAACAGCAACAGCTGGTTATAGACAGGATAATAAATGGAATAGGTAGAGAAGGAGGCTACACATTAATGAACAGGAGAACTCAGGTCATATTAAGTGATCAATAAAACCTGTTCAGTGTTTGGAGAATTTATCAAGGTCAGAGACATTGAGCTTCTCTGTGACTAGGATGTTGACAATAACAGTACTTTGCCATTAATAAACCATGTATGTACAAGCAATATCATTGATTATTTTTATTACACAGCTAACCAGAAAATTCTCAGATAAGAAGAACAAGGGAAAAGATCAGAGACCCCATAACATTGTGTTTATACGTCAAATAAGCATATATTTCCAGAGTACAAATTTTGTCTTCAAGTACCATAAAGAATATATAGGAGACACAAATAATTTTACCCCCTACCTGTGTCTGAATGTGGAATTGAATGCACGTTCACTTACTCTAGCATGGAAGCTAATTATGTAATCTTTGTACTCGAACCAGTACTCCTTGATTAACTTCATAAATATCATTTATCACATATAATACCCGTAAACGTCAGTGGATATGTGGAAAGATAATCTGTATTTTCTGTCCTAGGAATAACACTTTGTTTATTAAATGTCATTGGCAGGAAACTCCACCAAGGACTATGGAACTTAATACAGTCTTTATGGAGAAATCCAGTATGGTTCTTACTACTAACAGCTGGGTGGAATATCTAAATAAAAAAAATTTAAGAACAAGAGAATAAATATATCTTGCTTAATTTTTACAAGACCTTCAAGAAGCTATAGATTCTTAGCAATAATTAAATTGTTATTTTATTATGCTGTTTACCATGTTTAGGTTTATTTTCACTTCCTCTCCCTAGCATCCTGTCAAGCTTACTTCTGCAGCTGACACTAAAATTTGATTACTGATCACATGTGGAATCAAACACTCTTTGTACTGTGAAAAATATTTGCTGAGTGAAGTCACAAAGAATATATAACACAGATTTATTGTTTCAGTCATACTGCTAACTTACTGTCGCCTAGAGTATTAAAAAAGAATATAATCCATAACATCATCTGAGTTAAATACCGTTGTCTGATGAATATCAGTCTCCCTTTAAAGACTCCTGTTACTGTTGTGTTTAGTTTTGTATTATAGCATCCTATTTCATTAGGATTTACCATCAAGTTAGCTGTATCTGAACACCATTAAAATAAAATAAAAATAACTAGAAAAATGTTTTCAGGACGTATTTTCATATTGAAGGTTTGAAATGCTTGTAAGGAATAGCTGTGTTAATTCTACAGTATTTTTTCCAGGGATTTGCTCAAGGTCTGCACCTGTGCTCCAGGCATTATAAGGAGCAGAGAGCTGTGTTTGCTACTTCACAAAAAGCTATTTTCACATTCACAGTGTATGTGTTTCCAAAGAAAAAAAAAACAGCCAATAGCAACAAGAGCCTGCCAAAAATTTCCCTGAGCTCTATTCTGTTTTTTAAACTATAGAACATTCTTTCACAGTTTGACAGTTAAAATGCTGCAGTTAATGTAATAAACAGAGAATTTTTTAAGTTGGCTGTCAAAACAAGTGACACTTTTTGCTAGAGATTTTCAGATTTTGAACAATAGAAAGTACCTTTCAAAGCAACAGCTTCATTATACAATCAAATTCTCAAAGTAATCTTCTCATCAAAGAACATTGTCTTATTTCTTTCAGGGTAATTATCTGAGTTCTGCAACCTCTCCGGAAATGGTGACTATTATAAAATGCAGCTGTGTTAGTTTGAAAATTGTGGGTCCTGCTCAGGTCAGCTAGAGCCAGTGTCTCTGAAGCCCTGACAATTCCTTGAACTTTGGCAGCTGTAACCGTGTCTAGTCAAAACTAGCAGGACTCTGAGGATTCGTGGAGATTTTAACAGCTTTGATACAGCATAGCCCAGGGTGGATTTTCAACTAATAAAATCATAATGTATGTAAACTGAATACTAGAACAGTAGTTAATATGGTGCCTAATAGTACAAGCTTGCTTCCATGAGCAAAGGGCAGCAAAAATAAGCACTTTCAGGGATAAGGATAGGGAAAGATGATTGATGGCTGTCAGTCTTGAGAAAACCTCTTTCCCCTCACTATATTGCATGAAAAATCTCCTATGAATATTCTTTCAGGTGATGCTGTGCAAGTGACAACACAGAGGGGAAAGCAGTACTTTCCACAGCATCATTCCAGCCTGTCAGCTCTCTGCAAGGAGTGTGGATGATAATCAACATTGATCCTGCCAGGGTAAACTTACACTGGTTGCTCTGAAAGTCATGATGGAAAGCAAATGTAGTAGGAAGCCAAAAACTGTAATAACCTAAGGGAGCAATTCTCCAAGAGCTAACCTGCTCAGTCAGCCTGAGGCAAAGGAGATAGTACAGAGGTGCAGGGTCACAGCACACATAGCACTGTTCACGGTCTCCTAATGACTGGCATCTGCTCACGGGTGCAAGAAGCCCTCTTTCGCTCCTCAGTGGAGAATGCACAGGACATCTCTGTGAGGAGAAAACACCTCACTTCCCTGACACCATAAGGGTTTATGGAAGCGCCATGCTCCCAGTCTGGTTTGTCTATGTATTTTGTGTGACAGGGAGTGAGTGCTCCTTTGGTTGTGTTTGACTAGACCTCTAATAAACAGAGGAAAGAGAATTTATACTTTTAAAACTATTGCTGCATGGCAGTGTTACCTATTTTTGTAAGCACAAGTATCTGATGGCACTTTTTGAAATGCAATGCTTTTAGCAAGTTTTTGGAAAAGTGCCGTCTAAATGAGCTTGCTATCTAAACAGACAACACAGGGACAAGAATGGAGCAGGGAAAGGATACAGATGGAAACAGAACAGGAGCAAGCACTTGTGTTAAGTGGATTCAAAACATTTTTAGTAGAAAAAATGTTCTCACACTGTAGGCAGGGCCCAATCCTATCCCATAGCAAAGACAAACTTTGCCAATGGCCTCAAAGGAGCAAGATCCAGCTTTGTGTACTTATCTTTCTTGAACTGACCCTTACAAGTAAATCTTTGGTGAAGATGACCTTAAGTAATTCATTATTCTCAGTGCGCTTAATTAGCAGTAAAGTATGTCTTCAGTGGCCCCTAAACACTACCTGCAAAATGAAGAGGTTGCCTTCAATGGAGGGTCAAACAGAGTTTATACTGGTTGCTTTGAAGTCACTATAAAGCTGCCTGTAAAGAAGGCCTTTAGCACAGTTTTCAGTGTGACCAGAACGTATTGCTGAAAGGATGGTTAGCCAACTGATGAGAGGACATGATGTGATAGCTATGAAAAGGTTAGGCAGACATCCTCTGTGGCCTAGGTACAAAAAGCATTTTTTTTTAATGTATTGATTTTATAACAATAAGAATGGATAAATAAACCCACAGAGCCACATTTCACACCTTCCTAGCAAACTACAACAGGCCAAGTCCAGCCTATCTTAATTCAATAAGTTTCTACCAAAGATGAATCTAATTAACGGCTGCCACTGATGACTGCAATTGAAAGGTACCTGCTGTGCTGCCATCCTACCACTCTACTCACTCACAATAACTGAAAGCAGCATAGTTAATTGAATGGCACGTCTACACAGAAAGTGTTAACGGAACAGGACTCTTCTATTACCTGCAACTTACTTTTGGGGGAGACTCAGAAATGAAATAAAAACTCACAAGGCAGCATTTTCCTCAGGGTGAGTATGATGGCATTCATGGCCTTTGATGGTTATTCTCAACACACAGTTCAACTTATAAGCATTAATAAGGATGGGAAATGACTTAATATGGACTTAAAATCTTTAGAGGTTGAACAAACTGGCACTGACATGAAATAACTGGCCAAAGGATGCCCGATAATAAATGTACATTTCTCCTCTTTCCATGTCACAAGGAAGGCCCATGTACAATTTTAACACATTAATCTGCTTACGGTTTTCTGAGAATCATCCTCATATGAGCATCTGGCCCAATCTGAGACAGAAGAAGCATAGTGTCCTGTAGCTCCTCATCACACTCCTTTTTCTCTTCCTCGGTTGGCAAAGGGGCATCTTCACGCTCATCATCCAAAAATCGATAAAATAAGTATTTGTCTTGAAAGTGGTGTTCCTGATCCACTGAAAACAACATAACATACCAAATACTAAGCTCTCCTCATTAAAGTCAACCTTGTAGAAATCTGTGTAGCATTGTATATGTCACAGATATATTAGTTAAGAAGGGAAAGAAACTGCAAGAGTATGAAACACCTTTATTTCCCACATATGTCCAAATTATGTAGCTTGGAGGGTACACTTTTAAATTGTGTACTACAAATACTTTCCAAAAGGCTTCTATATATGTGTGTTGTGGGTGTGTATACATACATGTGTGTGTGTGCACGCGTGTGTGTGTTTTTCTTATTAGATCTGGTTTTGTTCTTATTGTTTCAAACCATTTAAATTAAGCAAACAATTCACAGTGGGGAAATGGTTACCTCATGAATTTCTAAGAGGTGTTCTCTAGCATGAACACCTTGCCCTACATGTTTCAGACAGGGCTAAAAGGTAACAAAAGCATCTAAACTCTTTCTGATGTACCAGAAATGTACATCATCAAGATACAATCCCAGGGGCAAGTTCATTGACCTGTGTCCTGGTGGAAGAACTTAATAGAAAGACTACCAAGAGAAGAATTCTAAAGAGAGGCTATGATATGGCAAAGGACAAACCCTTGGTCTTCCAAGCAAGTCAGAGTGATGTGTTGAGTTGGAGACTGTGATGCAGCTTGCAACAGCTTGCCCCTGGGAGTTCAAGGGAATATTTGGCAGGAATTAAAGCTAGAGCCCTGAGGGTAAGGAAGCAGTGGAAACAATCTGACTTCTCAGTGTGGAAATTTCTCCCTGGGATATGGGAAGCACAACACAGGATAAATGGAAGTGTATTGTAATAGAGCTGCTCTTCTGGACTTAATAAAACTGTACATGCAAAGCTTCAAATACAAATATTGCTTTAGAAAGCTACCGTTTTGAGGGCTATAATATCCTGTTACCAAGTAAATCCTGCCAAATGGAAACTGGAAGTCAATGTAAAATACAGTCAGAAAACTAACATAAAATCCCAGATCTCTGCACTGGAATATTTGGAGTGCTGAACTTGGGAACCGCTCCAAAAACCACTGAAAATCGTTCCAAAATTATGGATCTGAGCAAACACAAATCTTCACATTCACTTCCAAATGCTGCAAATTTTGATGAAGATCAGTAATACTGATGGTATTACTGTGTGTGTATGGTAATACTTCTCTTGGTTTTGGCCTGAGTGCTATACAGCTCTTGCAACATAATCACAAGCTGGTATACTCCTAAGTATAATTAGAGTTATCATTATAAATTGTTCATTTACTTTTCAATATCTCATAAGTTAAAAAGGCATATTGGTAGCAAGATTCACGTAATACTGTCTGTGTGTTTCGCTTGCACTTATGAATGAACAGGTTGCTCTGCAGCATTTTCTTTGGGCTCATGATCCCTTACTTTTTCATGAAAGAGATCTACAGAGGCACTCATGTCACACATTGCCCATGTTTTAGTCAAGATGCTGATTTTCTTTATCTTACCATGGTTAAGAACACCTTCTTCCAGCAATACTTGCCACATGCCAACAGCCTGGGTTCGTGAATGGACACAAGTACTTTGCTGCATCATCCAGTCAACTAGTTCTGTCCCCACACAGCATTGCCTGAAGGACAAATAGATAGAAATGAAAATGGAGCTAGTCAAGAGAGAGATCGCACACAGTGTCTGCCAAGAACAGTGATATCTTAAACTCTGTATAACCTTAGACAAATCTCCCTACAGAAAACACAATGTCACCATCTACGTGTATATGCTTGAAATACCAGTGAAGGTATTCAGTTTTGAGAGGGTCACCTCAGCAGAACAACAAGTGTTTGAGGAAATGCAAAGTTCAGAGGATCAGAGTGACCCTGTGCCACCTGGTACAAAACCTGTTGCACCAGTGCAACAACCTCCAACCCAGATTTCAAAGGAAACCTTCTCTGTATACCGTGGGATAGCAAAAGCCTCATGCTTTTCAGAATGCTGCATGAAAACAAACATCTAACACTGTAAAAGCTTTGCCAATGAGAACAGCCTCCACAGGAAGAGTGAGTGTTATGAAGGTGTTCCTCCATTTGTAACCAAACTCCAGCCATACTGTATTTGGGGACATTGGTTTGTAGGTCTACAGTGCTTCTGAGGCTCTCTCATGCTAGGTGCTGGTCACCTCGCAGCTCCTGACTGACGCAGAGGCAGACAACAACAGGCCTCAAGTTCTGGAGAACGCCCAAAGAGGGGGAAAAAACCAAAAAGCGACGTGGTCACTAAGTAAAATTCTTTGTCATAACACTCCCTAGCTCAGCAGAACAGAAGCAAATGAGCAATGTGATCAAAAACTTACAAATCTATAACTGATCACACGTAGAACAGAGAGGAGGCTGGCTAGTCCTTCTAGACAGGCTCTCGTGGCTCCACACTTCTTGCATCACTTTCAGAGACCAAGGAAACGTAATACTGAAATTGCTGAAATTTAGCTTAAATAATGCTCTTCCAATTAAAATCCCATTTTGATGACAAAACTTTCCCTCACCTGGATCCAATCTAAATTTTGGCATTCCATATTTAAAAAAAACAAGGATAGAACAGTAAGAGTTTTTCCCAGTTATGTATAAGATAAAATGGTGCAGTTGTTTGGACCAGCATTGGTCTTCATTTATCATACATGCTCTTTTGTTCTTCTAGAACGATGAGCAATGTCATATCAATATATATCAAATCATATATTCTCAGATCAACTCACAAGCTCCAAATACCTTGCATCATATTAAATACATTTCGGACTGAAATATGGAAAATCAATGCACTTACCTCAAAAGCAGATCAGCAATATATTGATTTACTATTTAGAAAAAGACATACTCAGAGATTTTAAACTAATTTTTATTTAAATATACTCCAAATGATGCATTAGGTATTTGATTTAAACATTAGACACTAAAACAAATTGATTGTTCCTTAAACCAACAATAGATAGATCCTGACTCCTTCAAGTCAGATTCCTATTCTACAAGTGCCATTGTTATCCCACTTCAGCAAGACAGTGCTGCCACCAGCAGAAGGATAAGAAAGCCTGGCAATCAATGCACTTACCTCAAAAGCAGATCAGCAACATATTGATTTACTATTTAGAAAAAGACATACTCAGAGATTTTAAACTAATTTTTATTTAAATATACTCCAAGAGATGCATTAGGTATTTGATTTAAACATTAGACACTAAAACATTGATTGTTATCCCACTTCAGCAAGACAGTGCTGCCACCAGCAGAAGGATAAGCCTGGCAATAATAGATAGATCCTGACTCCTTCAAGTCAGATTCCTATTCTACAAGTGCCATTGTTATCCCACTTCAGCAAGACAGTGCTGCCACCAGCAGAAGGATAAGAAAGCCTGGCAATACACTGAAAAAAAAATTTTAAATATAACAGAAAATTTACATAAGGAATGTTTCTCACCAGGTTAATTTTCAGAACTCCACACTGAGCAACACCACTGTAGCAATCAATACAGTAACATAACATATTAATGAGCTTTCCTATTATCTCTTTCTGATATACGAAGAGAACAGAATCTACATTTTAACTTGATATTGCACAGAATATTCCAGCTAACTATGCTATTAACTTCGGAAGAGTTTTTGTATGTGAATACTTTGTTCACAATCATGGACTCAATTTCCAGTCAAATTACTTCAGAAAAGATTTACCAGGCCCATTAAAGGCTGCATAACATCCAGACTCAAATAGCATCACAGAATAATTTCAGACCTTTTGAGACCCGCAAGTATGGTAAGGCATAAATCACAAATCAGAGAATGGCAGGCATAAAAATTCAGAGACCTCTATACAATCAGCTCACACACCTGTAAGTCTTCAGATGGTATTTACGATCTCTTATCATGTGAGGGGCTCGGGACAGAATTGTATTCCGCAAAATCTTTCCAGCTCTGAGGATCTTTTCTGAAGGAACCTTGGTGATCATGGAGAAAAAAAAAGGGACCAAGACACACAGATTTTAAACTTTCTACAATCTCTGTACTGCCTTCTGCAAAACAAAACACAAGTTCTCTTTTCCCTAAATTAAAAATCCTTGCACAGATGCTTACTTTTGCAAAGCAATGTAGTATATATTTGGGATTTTAAGTCTCACATACTTATCACATCTAACAGAAAGCATCACTTCAGCTGATACGCGTCACACTGTTGGAAATAGGAGTTATTTCCATTTGTCTAGCGGCCTGGCTCTACAGCACACCTATGCCCTATTACCTGTGTAATGGTTTTAGTAGGACGATGTGGGATGTGAGGTTCAATAAGAGGTGTCTGAAAAATAAAATGAAATGAAATAAATTTTTAAAGGTTGAGCAGTAAAATAAAATAAAAAAAACTGAACAAAGAAGCTGTAAAAACAAAGAAGGACGTTTAAGTCCAAGCTTTGCCCAGGGGCCGTGAGTAGAAAAAGCTCTCTGAAGACATCCTAAAGACAAACTTGGCTCTGAACGCTCAGCAAATTAAAACAGTGACATGACACATGAAGATTAATAAACAAATGCATGTTAAACTTTCTAAAGCACTAACGAAGTGTGCAATGGTGAAACACCACACCAAATCTGAGGCTACGCGGGCATAGCTAGCTCTTCCACTTGCTGCTTTCGACCTGCAGTGGGCACAACAGCATTCCTCCACATGCGGCTGCCTCCGCCATTCAGTCCCCCACCACAGAAACTCTCTCCTCCTTCAGCACCTTTTTCTATTCAGCTTTCTTCTCCCTTACAGCATCACACAAGAAGACAGGAATGAAGAAAAAGCTCTGCTCCCACGCTCTGTCTTTTCTAAACTATCAGGCCTAGCTGGCAACCCTTTTATAGCTGCTCACCAGAGCTCTCTGAAATGTAAGAGCACGCAGGCCACTCGCAGAGACCTTAGTAAGGACTTTCACAAAGGGGCTGGTGAAGGAAAAAGAAAAGAGTAGAGCAGGTGACTTGGTTCTGCAAAGGGAAGAGTGAAAGGGAAGGCTATCAGGGCTCTCTCTATAAGAGAGAAGCAGAGAAGGGGATGAGAGAAATGGGAAAACAGGCACTTAACAAACAGGTGAAAAGAGAGGGGAGACAGGAAGCACATGGTACAACACAGAGGAAAAAGGAAAGCAGAGGGTTAAAGGACAGTAGAAATGGAGACAAAGGAGAACAAAACCAAACTTCAGCAGCCACCTCAGAATGATGGGAAAACGTTTTGCTCTGTTGGGACTTGTAGTTAACAGCATGGACCAAATCTCCTTCCAGTGTGAAATGTCAGGAGACACGACACAAGGGCTGAATTTGGCTGGTGTTGTGGGCTTGCTGACAGGCCAGATCATACCAAACACAGAGGTCTCCCACAAGGGCAAGACCTTGCACCTCAGCCCACGGCAGCCGTGGCTCCCTTACACCCGTACAGCAAAGGCAGGACAGCCAGGTCGGAAGTACAGTGAAACATATGCCATGTACTGCTGGGTTGCTGGGTATCGGTTTTCTTAAGCTGGGCACCTGTTTGTTAGCTCCCACAGGATTTTAATGATGTGACAAAGTCCTTGTAGTAATCAAATAGTGCTAGGAGCTCCGAATGCACCAGGAGATTATAGGTCAGCCAGGAAAAGGCAAGAATGAGGGAAGCACATGATAGGAATCAATAAAGATAAGATAATCTTAACGGAGAAGCCTGTATATGGAAAACAATGCAAATGGTTTTTCATTTCTACTCATACCTTACAAGAAGTCTCTGAAAAGGCAAATCAATGCAATTAAATTGGGATTCTTGATTTTTCTCATTAATAAGTCAACAATTTTTCAAAGACTCATTTAAGCTATAAACATTTCTGTCCCACCAGAAGGGTGGTAGAACATCCCTCAGTATTTCTTCATTTCTGGAACTGTGTGGAGCATGCTTTAGACAGTCTACATTTGCAGTTAAAGCATGCTAAGAATAGCAATAATCTTTTGAAATATGCCTCTAATGCAAACAAAACCATTGAATAACAGTTTCAAACAGGTATATAAATAATGAAGTCAGAGATATCACTCTGAGTATTAATGATTTTTGCTTCCATTTTCTTTTAAAAGGATTTCAAGTCCTCACCAAGTTCAAGGAGACTGAAGGTAAATACATACTTAAATGGTTGGCTAAATTGGCATTAAAGTAATTATGAAAATTATTTTTAAGTTCTACATTCTTAAAAGCTTTTTTTTTAAATCAATAAAGCACAATAAACTCAATTTAGCTTCAGATTTTCATTCTAGTTAGGAATATACTTCAAAGGAGAGATAAAATGCGTAAGACAAGAAATATAAGAGACTTTTACAGCAACAGACTAGTGGAAATGAATCACATTTTAGTTCTTCAGAGTTTCCATTAAACTACAACAAAAATGCATAAAACTAATAGTTGAAAAAATTTAATTTGGATGAAGATTTGTCAATAAATCTCCCATCTTAAAACAGAATGTAAGAGAGCATTTAGAAGAAATCTGATTCAACCCAAAAATACAGAAAACACCCAAGGTGAAAGCTAAGGCACAGCACAAGAATCTGCAGAAAGCAGCAGGAAGGCTTGTTCACCTACATTTGATCCTGACCAATACAGAAGGATCAGCTGCGAAGACAGAAGGTATGTTGGGTGAAGGTGATCATGAAACGATCCAGTGTCAGAACTTTACAGAAGCAAGTAAGAACATCAAAGTAGAAACAATGGACTAGGAAGAAAAATTCCCATACAAACAGAATACTGATAGCTAAATTCCTGAGGCAGGTCATGGGGGAGCAAGTGTAAGGTAAAAGGAGTTAAAGAAAGCTGGTAGTTACTTAATGAAACAATACTAACCACACATACAATATATCCTAGCACAGATCTAGAAGTTGTAGTAAAGACTCAACTTAGCTAAAGAAAGAGCTCTGCACTGAAATACAAGAAGGAAATGTACAGAAAGGATAAAGTAAGGGGTTTACAAAAGGCAAGTATAAAAAATAATTTGAATAATGAAGGACAAAATTAGAAAAGCAAAGGTATAAAATGAGACAGACCTACCAAGAAATGTCAAGAGCTACAGAAAATATTCCACAAGTACATTAGTAGTAAAACAAAGAGAAGGAAAAGTGTTGATGCACTGCTCAACAGAGGGAAATCTATTGACAGATAATGCAAGTCGGCCAGAAGCAGTTGATTTATTTTTTGTATCAGTGTTCACTAGAAAGATCAGTGGCAGACAGATGGCTATTATCCTAAGTAGTAGAGTGAAAGGGGTAAAATCTCAGCCTGAAAAAGCAAAAGAATGGATGAGAAAATATTACATAAATTAGCTATTTTCAGATTGGCTGGGTTTGTAGAATTTCATGCAGGAAACTTGAAGAGCTTGAAGAAACTTAAAGAGGGCTGCAGCCATCTCAGAACCATCAGCAGTCACCTCTGACAATTCTTGGGGACTAAGGAAGGCAGCAGAAGACAGAAAAATGGGAAAAGGAGGAGCTGAAAAATTATAGACATGTCAGCTTAACTTGTCTTCCTAGAAAAAGTCCATTTGTAAGCACCTGGAAAAGAACAGGGAGATGAGTCACATGTGACGTATATTAATCAAGAACAAATCATGCCACACTAATCTAATTTCTTTCCATGACCGGGTAGCAACACAGATAGATTGGGGAAGAAACAGTAGTTTTTCAACCCTTTACTTTAGTAAGACTTTGGCACTGTCTCATACAATAATCTCTTCTGCAAAGGGCAGATTAAATTCTTACAAAATAGGTGCAAAGCCAGCTGGAAAAGTATATTTTGAAAGCAATTACCAGTGAAGCACTGTCCAACTGGCAGTCATACCAGAGGTCTGTTCTGAGCAGCATTCTAAAGAATATGTCACATCTGATACTATTAAATGTTAACACGGGATGAAGTAGAATGTACACTGATTGATTCTGCAGGAGACTTCAGGATGGGAGGGACTGCATGTACATTGGAGAATAAGTTTGCAATTTGATACAGGTTTGACATTGGTCTGAAGAAAATATGATGCTGTTATGCATCACAGATAGTGCTGACTACTTTTCAGGCAGAATCAGCTATATAAAGACAGGGTAGGAAACAAGTGTCTTAGCAGCAGTTCCACAGAAAAAGAAATAAAGTTTATAACAGGTATTAAACAGAACTGAGTAAGCAATGCCATACTTGTGTGAAAGCAACAAATACTGTACTGGGATGTAGTAACAGGTTAGATACATAATGCAGTCCTGCTTTAGTCAGCCTAGATAAGACCTAAGCTAAAGCACTGTGTCTCAGTTGCCCACTTTACTTTGAAAGTATCTAAACCAACTAGACAGAATTTAGAGGAGAGCAACAAGAATAATCAGAAAGCACAACATAAATAATCAAAGTTGTTCAGCTAAGGAAAAGGCAAGTCTTAGCAGAAGTGTGATAAAAAAGACTTCAAATTTAAAAGGCCTTTGAAAAGAAAAAAGAAGTTACCTAGTCCATCGTGCAGAGATCAGGAAATAAAGAGTTGAAATTGCTGTAAGAAAGATTCAGGTTAGACATCAGTGAAGCTTTTCTAAGTGTGGACAGTGAATACTGGCACAGATTGCCAGGGAGGTGTGGTTCCTCCCTGGAAGTGACACAGCTATAGTGAATTGTGCATGTGGCTCAGGGATGGACTAGATGCTTTCCTGAAGTACCTTTTAGCCTCACTGTGTGGCACTGTGCAATTTTTGAGGACACCTTTACATGTGTAAAATTAGTTCAACCACAAGGTGGTGCTTAAAGGGATGATCAATAATACAACCCCCAGAGCAGCAAGCCCGGACTCAAGAAAGCAAAGCAGTCACTCCTACTGTGGAACAACGTCGTTGCCATCCAGAAGACATGCCCAGCAAGGAGTCCCCCCGACGTTACACCCTTTCAAAGCTACTGCAGTGAACTCTGGCTGCAATAGCGATGAGATGAAATGCAACAAATGGAACCACAGGGCTTGGACCGAGTTTGCTACAGAAAGGTAAGCTGTGCTTCAAAGGCAGAGAAATGTATCATCAATTAGTTAATAGGAGATATGATGTTCCTGCAACAACTTCCCATCAGAAAAAAATGGATTCAGTAAGGGATTGTATCTTAGGATAATAGTCACAACTTGGCTGAAGTCCAAGAAATGTTTTGTAAGTCTTTACAACCTTCGCTCTCCCAGTAAGGGATACTTTGAAAGCACTTAGAAAAAAAGAAGTAGCTCTCCCTATAAAACAGCAGAGAGTGAGCAGAGTGTTTAATTCCCTTCTTAACACATTCTGGTACCTCTGAAGAATTAATGTGACTAA